TTTTTAAGGCTGTGTCTTAGTCTCGACGCTTTTCTTCTCCTTTTCTCCCTTCTTACAACTACCCACCACCCCCTTCTTGCACTACCCACCCATTCCCCATCCATCCGCCACCCTGGTCTGCCCTCTTATTTGAAAAACCCCTCAGCGTGTGGCGATGCCCGGGCGCTGCTTAATGAGAACCCATCCTCCCAACTCCTCGCCATCTTTCTTTTTCAACTCTGCGGAGAAAGAGGCCATCTCCTTCGTTTCTCCTTGTGCTCCTGACTACGGCGTCCCTGTCTCTCTTACTCAGGGTGCTGGTTCTCTCTTACTCAGATCAACTAACGAACACCTAGGAGCGGAATGAGTTCCCCTCCACTGGGTGGTGGGTGGTATGGGGGGGAGGGGGGAGTATATGACCGCAAGGCCTGTCGGTAAGACACACGTGAGACGCTCGGACACTTATGTCTCTTCGTTATCGATTGCGCACGGATTTTTTTTTTTACGCGGGCAGATTAATTAGCGATGGCGCGGTGCGGCGGGGAAACGGGGTAGTAATATTTTTTTTTCACTCGATAACGTAGCAATTATGACTGTGAATTAATTTTTTTATTATATCCAACACGTTGAAATTTTTATTTTCACACAAAAAAATTATTTTTATTTCGTCCAATATGATACATCACTCCTTAAAGGGAAGAATTAAAATATTCTGAAATGAAAAGGAAATTTCTCAAAAGAATGTCCATGTTATTTATTTTTAATAAAATATTTAATTAATCACCCCCGTATTTAAATTTGGTTACGAGTAATTCCAGTTTCGATAAATATTCACCCCTGAATTGCGTGAAACCTCGATTACGTCCGTAATTATGACGAATGTTTTTCCTTGTATGAGCCACACACTCTGATATGTAGATTATTTTTGGAACAAAAAGCCCTATCGTAGATGACTATCGATTCCCCCACACCACGTCTTCGATATATCTCATTGTCTTCTCGCATACGCTGTGTATCACACACGCGAGAAACATTGAAAAGGGGGTGTACCCTCTCACCCCGATTTCACCCCCCCCTCATCGTCCTTACCCGACAAAATCGTCGTGTTGCACGACAGACCATATCGTTGTGCCATGCCCCGTTAATTAATCTCTGCTATGTCCCTTTCCACCTCTCAACCCACCCACCCTCGCCCTCTCTTCACCCACCACCCCCTCTTGTTACCTTTCGACTACTAAAAACCCATGGGCAATCGATACCAAGACACTAGATACAAATAAACTCGTCTACCCCGAAAATTTCTATTTTATCTAGTCAAAATACAAATTTACTGTCAATTCAAAATGTCACAATTTTTTTTTGGCCGTAATATTTTTTTTTACAATTTTGAGGAGATATAAAAAAATCGTGAATGTGTGAGAGAAAAAATTTGAAGAATAATTTCGTGTTAATTCGAAATGTGACAATTTTTTTTTGGTCGTCATATTTTTTTTTACAATTTTGAGGAGATATAAAAAAATCGTGAATGTGAGAGAAAAAATTTTGTGAAGTTTGAGGAAATATTTGAGATAGAATGGGTAATTGGGGTGGAATGGGGTAGAAAAAATCGAAGATATTGTGATAAATATTTTTAGAGGGTTGAAGTTAGTTTCGGATGCATGTGAAATGAGTGGATGGATAGAAGGTGAATATTCGATTGCCACTATGATCACCCCATTCCGATGCATCCTCGATTTACCATAGACCATGTAAATGCAAATCATTTTCTCCACCAAGTCCACACAGTTTCCGAGCTATTATGTAGCTGTGGGGAAGTTGGAGGGTTGAAGAAAATTGCAAGTTTCAGAGGGGTAAAATCTGAGATTTTGTTTATAATTTTTTCTACCCCAAAATGATTCTCAAGTGGTGCACTTGAACTTCAAGAATTAATTACACCAATCTCAAATCTCCCTATCACTGATCAATAATTACAAAGATAATAATTAATTACCTAATAATAATAATCACCAATATTCACTGACTAAATTATTCGCGCGTAATTTAATCGTCTCAAATATTAATAATAATTGCACAATAAATTATATACGTTAATTGATATGTTAATCACACTTCGCGTTAATTAAAATTAATAAAAAATATATGTAAAATTACCAGTGTATTAATTTCCACGATAACCAAAAACGAAAGCCTCCCCCGAAAACATCAATTCCCGCTAACCCATATGCCCGAGCCCCACCCCCAATTAAAATTAATTAAAATATATCTGAAATGCTTCTCTCGAAATTCACAGTTTCTTTTTGCCCTGCGGGTTTTATGGCGTGTAGAAGATTATTCCCAAGCACCCCCTCACTCCCCCCCCCAGTCGCCGTCTCATCTTCAGGAGTATCCGTTCCCCTTGCCCTCTCCCATCCCCTCACCACCCGCCACCCCTTTTGCTTACCCCATTGGACGACGAGATAAGAGAGATCTGCATTGAGGAGTCGTTGGAGTAAGACAGTGAATAAGAAGTGGAAGAAGAATAAGAAGAAGGTAGAGAAGAATGAGAGAGGTATTTTGAATTTTACGCGGGAAGGAAAAAGATGCGACGATCGGGTGGCAGGGGATGGGGATCTAGGGGTTATAGGGGTGAGAGGGGGCTGAAGGGGGTGGTTGGTCTCGGATCTCGTGGGTCGTTATTTTTGTGCCTGCCTCGTCTTTAATTTCTCCCCTCCTTCTTTACTCAAAGCTCATGCCAAGGGATAGGGAGTGAGAGGGGGCTCAGCCCCCCCTCCTGCCACCCCCTAACCCCTCGTACTCGCGGAGCTTTAGCCCTCCGCAGTCTTTCGTTTTATTCCTGGTTACTTTTTATCTCAGTCCCACTCGTATCATTTTCCATGGATTTTCTCTCTTTCGGGTTATGGCGCGGTGGAGGGGGCGGTGGGAGGGGGGGCCAGGATAGGGGAAATCCTGGGGTCTGTCTCACTCGGTCGGTTGTCTTAGTTCGTATGCATATCTCAGTGCCTCCACATATTGATTCAGGGGCGTCATTACGCGTCTTAGGGGATGGGGGGTTTATTAAGGATTTCTTTTTTTCATTATTGGAAAAAAAATTTTTTTTTTTTTCACTACCATTTGTTCTCGGGATGATTGGAATTTTCGGGATGGGGTTGAGCGTAATTCCGGTAATTGAGGGTGGGAAAGGGTTTTACGTTTTAATTATTTAATTGAATTTATTGATTTATTTGGATTAATTAGGATTTATTAGGATTAATTTTTGAGATTTTTTGGAGTTGAGGAATTTTTAAAAAATTGGATTGTTGGAGTACGGGTGATTATCGATCATTGAGGCTCGATCAATTTTTATCGATTCCGGATATTGAATTTGTATTGATGAAATATTATTTTTACTTTGTTTATTTTTCAGAGTTTAAAGTGAGTGAATATTAATTATTATTTTTTTGGGGATGATTTGAATAAAAAAGAAAAAGAGTTTAAATAACACTATGTCGTCATCTGGGGATGAAATCATAGAGTAATTTTTATACGTACTCCATTGGCAATTTACCGACTGATGGAAATTACCGATCAATTTTTATCTTTATCGGTAAATAATACCCGGCGATTTAAGAATGAAAAGTTATCGGCTGCGGAAAAAAAGGATTATCAATTATCGGTAATAATTCCCAAACAGGAAAAAATTTCTTACGTGCAAAAATTAAATGACCAATGAAAAAAATGTAATTACCGAGTACCTCCTCACATTTTCTGTGACCCTTTTAAAAAACTCCAATTTACTCAAATTTCTACCAGGATAACAGGAGAATTGAAGATCTTCCATAATTAAACGCGACGAAATTCAAATAAAAATTTCCACTACACGATAAATTTTCAAAAAGGCGCATATCCCTTTCCTCTTGGAAGACTTCTATGCACGGAGGAATTCTTCTTACTTGCAAAAAAAAAATCCATGTGCGTAGAACGACCTTAAATAAACCATCTTGATCGACCTCTTTCTTCCCAAGGCTTGCAAAAAAGGTTATCCAGTACAAAATTTATTCAGAATCAATTAAAATCTATCGAGTCGGTGATTCTATCCGAGAAAACACGCGAATAATTCCTGGATCTTCCGATCAGTTAAGAGTCCGATGAAAAACAATAATTAATTCCGATTTATTCACGTGCATCTGAAATTTCAGCGAAATCGGTCGAGTCATCGGGACTCCTTAATGACATATTTAATCAGTTGTTAATTTTAAATTCATCTCAATCGTGGATTATTGAATATTTGAATCAATAAAAAATAGTCACATCCATTCATTCCTCTAATTGATTAATTAATTAATTATTCATTCAATAACTGGTTTCAAACTAGATCTTGGTTAACGTGGAGCGACACACGATGACGTTTATTCTTATTTCCATTTTCTTCTGCACCGATTCATTTTTTTAAATCAATCACTGGCATAATTCAGTGAATAATCACTAATATTTCATAACAAAATAGATTTTTAATTGAAAATAAAGAATTTACTGTCGATGTGAATGCAGTGAAAAGTTGGCAAATTTTTTTCTCGACTGACACACGATAATTTCAGGAATTCATGACACATTTAATTTTCTTTTACCCTAAATTTATTATAAATCCATTAAAATATTAAATCAGGAAAAAAACTGATTGTTAGAAAAATGAAAAAACATGCGATTCGTGAATTGAAATATTTTTAAACATTCATAAGATGGGAGAATGTGATATTCTGGCATTTTACAATGGAAGAATAATTTTGCGGGATGACGGTGGGTCCGGTTTTTCCAGGTGAAAAAGGAATGCAACGAAAATGATGAAGTGAGTGTTTGGAGCGAGTGGACAAGGTGAACAGGTTCTGCTGATAGGGATCAGTGGGAATATGAGACACCGACTCCAGAGCCCATACGAAAAATGAGAATGCAATTTTCGATTGACCCGGTGGGGATTTTTGCCTTGTTACTGGGATTGTGATGAGGTTGGAGGGGACTAGAGGAATATCCCGTTCACTCGAAGGCACTCAGGTACCGGTCACCAAAGAAAATCGCCTCTCTCTCCAGTTCACTTTGTCCTGTCGACGCATTTGCATCGACAACACTCCCATTTCTCACCGATAAGTGTAAATATTCCTCATTCTATTATCCAAAATATACATCAATAATACAATTTTAAACTATCACCATAAACCATTTTGTTCCGATAAAAAATAAAACTTCAATTTTAATCTTAATGTACCTGAAAAAAGTATTTAAAAAATTTATTCAATAACAAAAATTCCAATTTCGTTGTTTCACATTCGTAACGAGAAACGTCCGATAATCACCAGATAATTAATAACAAAAGCATTAACAATCGGCATTTATATTTATCCAGTACTCCCTGTCTTAATCAATTTTTTACAGCTTCCACCTGCGGAAATAAAATAACAAAATAAAAAAACATTATATTAACTGACTAATACCGAAAAAAATTATTTCTTCGGATCAATTTGATTTTTTGTTTTTCCAGAGAGTGAAGGCTCGCTGGAAATCCCCAAAATAATGTGAAGTGTTGGAAGATTCTCTTGAAAAGTGGGAGATTCTCTTGAAAAAAACAATTTCATGCGGAAGAAAAAAAATGTATAATACAGAGATTGCATAAATTCTGTTACTTCCGGTAATTATCACGCCCCGATGGTGATAGCGATGAAAAACCGGCTGAGTGTAACGGATCATTTCAATAACAGTGGGCGCGAGTTCCTCTGAATTCCACTCATTATTTATCTATTTTTATTCCAATTGTTGGCGGAAAGAAATAATATATCCTCGAGTGGTTTCCCGGGTTGTGTCTTACCGTGATAACAAGTGATACCAAGTGCTTGGGATTGAGTCGTGATGAGAAATCCAGTGTGACACTCCAGGAAATCATGTGAAGAGACATTTAAAAGGAATTCATTTATTTTAGTGAGTTTTTTTTATTTTTACATCAATTTTATCTGTGGAAAAATTGCAGAAAAATCATTACCCCAACAATTAAATTCACAAGTACCACAAAAATCAATTATTCCGAGATTTCAAGGAATTACTCGGATTACTACGGAAACCGTTTCCAAAAAATTACTCAATTTTAATTAAAAATTAATTTTTCAATTATTCAGAGAGTTCCAATAAATTTTTATACTTTTATATTTTTTATTGGGGGATGGAATAATCAACACTGACAATATTTTTTAATTCAATTTAAAATGACTTCATAAATAACCAATGACTGTAATTAATTTGTAATATAATGAATTTATGACAGAATATTTAAATATTGACGTCAATAACTCTCAGTTCTTCATGTAATAAATTTCGAGTTTGAAACCATAAATCACGATGTGAAAATTGATAAATAAAGACATGAGAGAAGAAACGATCAAATGTTTGACGCAAACGCTGGGTAAAAAGGATTTTTTTCAGACCCATGTCTTTGTCGTCAGGTGAAGAAAAAAAATTCATTAAATTATCGTATGACACTCCACTATTTGCCACCATTTACCGTCAATTACCACAAATTTCCATAAAATACGCAATCCTTCTGATTCCACGAAGACGTTCATTGATACCAAGCCGCAATAAACAATTCCAATAAAATCCAAACATGAGCTTCAAATAATTGTAATGAAACATTAACCCCACCCCCATTTATTGCCATTGAATAATCAAAAAATCATGCAAAAAAAAAAAATAATCGGGTTAAATGACGCAATTGCGAGATGATGACGCGTCTCTTGCGACTTTCTATCGGACTTTCTCTCGTGATACCACTGGAGATCAGTGAATCTAGGGAGTCCGGTTTCTCAATGATATCTTCATGACCCAAAAAATGACACCTGAGATAACACGAGAATTGAATGATTCCAGCGTAAAACATCCCGATGACGTGGAATTCCCACTCTTTTCATGGCCAACTAAAGACCTTGAAATATTCGGTTAGATCATTGACATTGTTAGACATAAAAAAAAAAATCCAAGAACCAATAGCACGACATTTACACCTTCATACCTTCACACTTTGAATGAACGGACATAAAAAAATTTTAAATTAACTAGACACTATAGATTCAAAATTCAAAAAATTCCTGCTCCATAATTTTTACTCAAGGTAAAATTGTTTAACAACCTGAGAATGTACGGACAAGTGAAAAAAATAGTTAAGTACTCCTCGATGCGATAATGAGTCTTATGATAATTATCGAATGCGCAATAAATATTGTAGCACATCACAGAATTACTCGTTTAATCATGTTTTCATCGGAATTACGAGTTCCTTTCGTAATTACACGAGCTGTAAGTCATCATTGATCGTTAAGTAGAAACTTGGATTATTTATTATCATACAAGGGTTTATGCTGACGCGCATGAATAATCATGAGGTTTCAAGATTTTGTTTCGCCATGGGAACGACTGCTCACGGAATTCTGTGTATTTTTATTTCGCTTTATTCCTGGGGATTTTATTTGTCGGATTTTCAGTTTGACTCATGCTATACATTTTTCCCAATAAATACCCTCAAGACATCCTCAATTATTTATCATAAAATGCCCATTTAAATTCTCTCCTCAAACCGATTATTTCAGTACTAGTATAATTTTTTTATTGTTACCTACTGAATTCACGTGATGAATAAAATTATTAAAATACATGCCCACACAAAAATAGACATATGTATTATTTGTTTTTAATTAAAGAAAATGAATTAACTATTTCTAACAAAGGGACACCTGATTTTTAATGATAATTGATAACTTTATCGCAAAGATTTATCATTTATAAAATTTTTAAAATTTTTAAATCGTTTTTTAGTTTAAAAAATGCCGGCAATACAATTATTTGGACGCAAATGGCTAGCGGCTACTGACGACCTAGTGTACCCAGGACTCTTCGAGATATTCATCAGAGTCGTCTGGTAATTAATTGTTCATTTCACTGAATCATGACAATAAAATAAATTATAAGTAATCACCTGCTTTTGCTCATCACATTTACATTTTACTCAGTCACTCGATAAGTTGTAGAGTTTTTAATTTATTCATCGCGGGTCATACGCTCATGATTTTTAGTGAACATTAGAGAATAAGTAGTTGAATAATTACGTAGTAACGGAGAGGAATTACAAATTACATTCCCGTATAAATATATTTATCCATTTTTTTTTCGACAGGTTTGTTCTCCTCGGCATTGCCTGCATGCGTTATTACGCCGAGACCTGGAAATGCAAAACCGGTGGCGAATTAGTCCGAGTATTTTTAGTTGGAGAACTTGTGATCCTAGGAATTGCCACCATCCTGGTCTTCATGATCGTCAATCACAGTGCGAGGGGTTCTATTGTTGACACCTACGCCAGAAGGCTAGTCGAGCCGCTCTTGACAGTGAAGTAATTCATTTTAAATTCACGTCATCACCATTGAAAATTTCAAATTCTAACCATCGCCCGCCAAAATCAATAGAAAGCCCCACATAAACACCTCAGGAATAATACCGTGCAGCATGATCATGCGGTATCGCATAATAAACATGAAAATATCGCGGTACTAATAATGAATAATTGGCATCATCATGCCGGAGTACGTGTGACTATTTCTCAGAAAAACCTCGTAACATTAATAATCAATAATTAACGTCATCATCTCGCAATTGGTGTGAATAATCTCTCGAAATATCACACAAGTTCAAGCTGAATACCGTGAAGATCCCGAGGAAATATCGAGTAGCTGCACTACGAGAGAGCATTAATGATAATATCAAAACACGTCCACCTATTTCTCAGAACACCAGCAATAATCTATAATAAATAATCACCTGAGATCAATCTCACATAATTAAAAATTCAACTGACATGGTGACCGACATTTCAAGAAATCATTAAAATAATTTGAGATATATCATTTTTTTCTTCGTCACGTTTCACTCAGAATTCTCCTGCTGGTCCCGGAGATGATCTGGAATGTCCTGGGTACTCTCTGGATTCTCACTGATCACGTGCAATGCACTAATGAACATTTCACAATTACGACGATTGAGGCCCTCGTATTCTTCGATTGGGTGCTGATCGGTCTAGCAATTCTGGGTCTTGCATTCGTATTTGATCCCCTGGGATCATTATCGCGCTCTGATAAGGACCTCGAGGACTCGATCGAGCATGGAAAAGTCTCCAGGATATGGCTGAGAAGATTCAAGCTGTTCTGGTGGATGAGGCGGGACGAGAGCGCCAATGAAACATTTCAACATGTTGCTGGTGAGACATAGGTACATCCACATTAATTACAGATGAAACGACGAAATTTAATGGCAAGATCTATTTACCATAAAATAATTATCCTCTAAAACCAATTTCGTCCACAACAACGGAATTAATCAATAATTCATAAATTTAATTTCAAACAAATGATCGGATTGAATTATTTCCATCGGTACAAATAATCCGATTAATTGTCTTATCACTGCAATTGCATTTATCAAAGAGAATAATAAAATAAATACGTAACAAAAAACACAGAAAGCCTCAGTAAATGGAATAATTGAAAAGGATAGAGCACCTGCAAGTTAATGACCTCACATTTTTCCTCCAATAATTTCTCCAGGATTATTGAGCGCTCTGTTCAGAGGAACTGATTTAGTTCCCTCGGATGTCATGGCTGGTTGCGTACTGCTGCGTGTTAGACAAAAAAGGGAAACACTCGAGTTACGACGGCTGAATATCCTGGAGCGTCCGGAATATACCGCAGGTATGTGGAATGAGAAAACCCCCAGAAGATGACCTCATTCACCATGACCCCATCTTCAGGATTCAAGCATTCACTGGAAACGGGTGAAACGGTTAACAATTCATTTTATTTTATCCTCCAATTGTTTTTCTTTCAGATGCCAAAACGTTATTCTCTAACGAGCCAGGATGGATGTCCTTGGAATGGGCCCATCACTATATCAAATTGTCGATAGCTTCGTACAGTTGGCTGTTCGTCATGTACCAACACTTTTTCACTGGCTGTTGCAAGTTAATCCCCAATATGACCTGTTGCGCGTGTTTTCGTCGACAGCGCAATGTCCTGGATGATAATTGTTGTTTATGCAGTTTAGCTGGGGTAAAGCAACTGTCAAAGCTCTCGGAGGAGGATATTTTATTCGCGTCCTTCAGGAATCACCTCTGCGAGGTAAGAAACCGAGTTCAATGCTCTTGTTAACGATATTTGGTAGTCGGGGGAACCCCGGTATTACTCAGGCGATAAAAAAGACCCGATGGATGCTGCGCAGTCGATCAGAGCGCAGGGAAGACATGCGCAGTCATGTGCACTTTGAATGGTACATCTGAAGCCTTCAACGAATGACGGAATTTTTTCAGATTCCATTCTGCGTGATAGCGGATCATAAAGCGGCCAGTATAGCGGTTGTGATAAGGGGCTCGTTATCCCTGAGGGATTTGATTACAGACATTGCTGCGGCCTCGGCGTCCTTCGAGCCTCCAGGATTGCCGAAGGGCAGTATGGCCCACCGTGGCATGATAATTGGGGCAAAAGTCCTTCTCAAACAGCTCAACCAGTACAAAGTCCTCGAGAAGGCCTTCGAGGCGTATCCCCATTATTCCCTGACGCTCACCGGGCACAGCCTAGGGGCAGGTCTCGCAGTACTTCTGGCCCTCCTCATCCGTCCTCGCTATCCCAATTTACGTGTCTATGCATTCGCCACACCAGCTGGACTCCTCAGTAGAGAAGCTGCAAAGGTATCTGAATTTTTTTTTTTAATTTATATCATCCCAAAATTGTCTGGATCAAATCAATAAATCAATCAATGCCTCGATAATTTCAAGGTCACCGAAGACTTTGTCTTCACAATTGGTCTGGGTGATGATTTGGTGATGCGACTCAGTGTCGACAGCATCGAGAACTTTCGAACGGGTCTCCTGATAATTCTGCAGGCGTGCAAGCTACCGAAATACCGTGTAGTCCTCAATGGGTTCGGATACGCCCTCTTCGGGGTACCAGAGCGCGATCTGAACAGAACATGGAGAAATGGCAACACCATCAACTCAATCCCAGGACACTTGCCACTCCTGGCTGATGGTGTGGGCAATCGCCAGGGAGAGACACTCATACTCGAGCACGATGTCACCAGGAGGCGGTACTCCCAGGTGAGGCTCTACAACGCCGGGAGAATCCTTCATTTGGCAAGATGCAAATTCGATGACAAGGTGGATGGAAAGAGGAGTGAGAGAAGATTCGAGATGAGGTGGGCGCAGCCCGAGGAGTTCATGGAGCTCTCGGTGATGCCTCGAATGCTCCTTGATCACCTCCCGGAGAATTTGGAGGTTGCCCTCCGGAGTCTCATCAGACAGCAGGAGGATGTACCGATACACATCGGGGACTCATGATATCGAATATCTCACGTATAAAAAATACGATACCTACACGCCTCAGACGATCTTGATTAATCAAATAAAAAATTTAGGTGCTTATTTAGTATTTATGACTAATCTCGTGCTCGATGGCTACTCATTCGATGATTACTCATAATTTTGTACATTCCAATGGATAAACTTAAATAAATGAATCAATTTTATATTAATGAAAGAAAAATTCATTTATTCATGACAATCGGTATTAAATACTCTACATTCATATATCCGTAATAAATATGCAATACTCTTCATTAATTGCACTCACGAATATCGGCAATGATCTCTAGAATAATTGTCATAATTGCAGTTACTGCCGAAAAATAATTGATGACTCGCCAATTATTAATTTCCTCACCACTCCAATGAGATTTTTCTCATTCTTATCCCCTGGGAACAATTAATCCTGAAAATTAATTACGCAACGAGATCGATCAAACCGATTGATCGCAATCTGCCATCCTCAGTGGTGAATAAATCCTGGGGATGTGCTGTACGAAAATTTGTCCAGATGATTCTTGGTATCACTGTGAGAAAATGACACATCCATGAAATCGTCCTCGTCATTCTCCTCCTCCAGTTTCTCCAGCTTCTCCTCAGCATCGAGATTGAGAGTGCCCCGGTACTGCAGGTAAATCGGACTTATTCTGCTTGAGCTGTTGGGTAAAACGTACGGATCAAAAGGAAAAAAAGTGTCTAACCACGCGGTGAGACGATTAGACGTCTCAACAACTGGAAGATTCGACCTGGCATTGTGCTCCATGACAGTATAACAATAGGCAAGCTGATAGGTCCTCGTGACAGCTGCAAAATGTTGTACAACAACAGGTACACACATCCTGAGGGGATTGAGTTTACACGTGACCATTTTAGTGAGATTGAGACTCTGGAGGAACAGCAGATTTTTCTTGACATCCACTAGGTCCTTGTGCCTAAAGGCAATCACATAAAATAACGCCTGACAAATAGCATAGAAGACCGTGTGAATTCTTACATCACTGTTAGCACATTCTAGACTGTCCTGAGTTGATATGTAACTGTGAATCCACGTTGACATCTCCTCGATGACCCTCGTGATGAGACTGATAGGGACAAAACTACCCCTAGCCACTAAACTAGCCAAATAGCACACAGCGGATTGTCTCAGCACTGGTGCAACATTAGGACTGCTGACTCTTCCCCACAGCCAGTTGACGAATGCCTCCACAATGGATCTCTTGAAGCTGCACAAGTAGAACCAAATGAACTGCACGTGGTGGCTGGCATACGTGGGGAGAATATTTTTCTCAAACACATCGAGAAGATGAAAATAAATACCCTTGACTCCCTCAGGATCTAGGACACCTCCAGGATAACACGTCTCCTCGACAAATTTCAAAATCATTCCCATGCACACGTCCAGGGTGTGACCTATCGGGTGGACCTCCTCTTTTCTCGATTTTTCAATTCCTGCCTCGTCGATCTTAAACACCTCCTCGTCCTCGTCGTTCTCATCGTTGTACTCTTCGATCTCTGATCGTGGGGCGTTCACGTCGATCACCAGGAGGCGGTTGATTATCAGGGAGAGAATTTCACCTCGTAAGTCAGGGGCGTAGGAGATTATGTGGAGGAGAGAGTGAATGTACACTTCGTGGTTGTGGGTTGGGGCCTTGAAGAAGGGGAATCGTGTGGTGAGGGACTGCAGGAGAAGATTTGAAGACATTGGCACGATTTTCAGGATTTTTGATAGGACATTGTGGAGGTGAGTCAGACGTGTTGAGTCCTCTGGCGAGGGGATGCTGTTCTCCCAGGGGGTGGCTTGGAGGCGAGAGGTGGAACGTTCCAACGGTTTGAACTCGGTGACGAGCCTCTCGATGACAATTTTGCAGTGATAAATGTGAACGCACACGAGATCCTCCAAGAAGGATTTGTATGCCTCAGCGGCTTCCTCACACCTGGTGGTCCAGGAGATATTGAGGATAACCTCCACCAGGAGCTTGTGATTCGGTCCCAAGAAAGAAATACACTGACGAATCTCATTTAATAGATCAATCAAATCGTTATCACCTATGTCAGCATCTCGGATCATGCAGATGAGGGCATCGTAGCTCTTTCTGTCCGCACCGGTCTCGTAATTCACGAGAGTCTTCTTCAGGTCCTTGGGGGGAACGAAAACTACTCTGGACCATTTTTCTCGTTGTTTTGCGCGGTGGCCGGAAGTCGTCAGGATCGACGAGAGGCTGGTGGAACGAGTGGAGACCACAGACATCTAGAAAGAGGGAATGAATTTTTATGTATGAAACTCTCCAAGAACCTGAGGAAATACGACTTGAAAATAATCTCGGTGATTGCTTTCTTTCTTTTTGTAAGGGTGAGAATAACTTCGAAGCTGAGATTTTTCGAGAGTTTTTCGGAGTTTGAAATCTGTCACATGGGAAAAATTAGGTTAACGGTTCCTGAATATCAAAAAATGATAATTACCCTGGATAATTGATGATCAGCCTTCAATTACGTAAATCTGCAGGTATTTCGAAATGTGTATAGACCGGAATTATTAGAACCCCAACTTTATTCGCTGATTAATCGCTCTCTTTAAAGTCTGGCGAACTGCACCACATTCTCGATACTTCAATCAAACACTTGCATCACAACCTGAAACTTCACGAAATGACCGGTAACTCAGTACCGACAGCATAAAATCGATCATCTGAATCAAAATGTTAAAAATTCGGGAATTCAACGGGAGATGTCGCTCATTCGGAATTCAAAAAATTTCCCGTCTTTTCCGGCCCTCCCGAACCACGTGGGTGTCCTCTCAATCTAACCAAAAAAAAAATCCCCTCTCAAAAATTAAAAAGAAAGACTCAAAACCCCCGGTTTCCGCAAAACCTGAAACCCGAAATTGATGAATCGCCGGACACTCAAGAGAAAATCAATAAACAATTTTTAAAAATTAAACGTCACATGCTTCCCACTCCCAGAGGGATCCCCATCGGCCCCTCGGGATCGACCCGCACCCCAAAACCCAAAAAACCCGAAAACCCCCACCCCCTCGTTAAATCCCAATTAAAACCATTCGAAATTCCTCAAAAAACCGCAAAATCATCTTCAAAAAACCGATGAAATCGCGAATCCCGCGTTTTCCACCCACCGGCCCCGGAAAAACTGAAAAATCGGTGGAAAAACGGGCGACCTCCCTCCAGATGTCACCGCGGCAAAAAATTCAAATATTTCGCGGGCTTCCCGTCACTCCAACACGTGGTCGCGTTCGTGATCTCATCTCACCAGATATCGAAATCCCACGGGATATCGCGTAAATCCCTTCCCCAGAGATAAAAAAAAGTTGTTAAAAAAATAGAAATAAAGGGGAAAGAGTGAGATTAATGAATGATTGGAGTATAAAAAATAGCTGTGGAAGGTAGTGACGGAGTGAAGGCATCCATTGGGTGGCGCAGTTGTGTCTCAACAGTCAAAGCCCCCAGTCCCATTTGTACATCACCTCAATACCCGTAAAATGGCGATAGGCCAGTTGTTATTTACCCTAAACTAACTTCCCCCAGACAATCCATCCGCTAAAATAAACGGATAATTAGACAGCTGGGGGACACAATCCACGAGTTATTGAAGGTAATTACGAATTACTCAATCAGTCGAATTAACACTGGGTAACGAAATACTCCACTCCGTCCTCTTCACTCGCTTCGATTATTCCGGTTTGTATTATTTTTCAATGTTGCATACGCCTTCAGGATCTTTTTCCATTATTTTCACCAATTCATTGGAGTGACTGGGAGCGGAGGGGGTGTGGGGTATTTTGCATTTTTTTTGGGGGTAGTTCCGAGGTTTTAGGATTTATTCGCATTATTCCGTTTTTTTTTTGTTTTTACGGTTTTTCCGGGGGGCTTTTTGTTTTTGTAAGGGTGTAGGGCGTTTTTGGGGGTTGGGGGTTGATGGGGGGTTTTATTGGATTTTTTATCGCTGTCTTTGAGAAACGTCTGGGTTTTAGGTTAGGGATTTGGCCAGTGGTTTTTGGGGTTCAAATGGAATTTTGAGGTTTTGGGGGGCGAGGGGGAGGTATTGATGAAAAATTTTTGCGAGGGATTATTTGGTCTCGAAGGCGTCTGGAGGGTGAGAATGAAAATTGAGGGATTCCCTCAGTGGAGACGGGGATTTAATTAGTTCTTGGGGTATAAATGATTTTTTTTTGAGAAAAATACATTTTCCAAAATCGGAAGAAATCAAAAAATGGAGCGAAGAGTATTTTCATCACTCATCATATATATTCCACTTTATTGATTATTGCATCATCAAAGTGACAATGTTTTTCCATTGCAGGTGATTTTTTGATGACTCGGGAGTGCATGAGAGCCTGGGATAATTTAAAAACAAGAAGATCAACGACTGTCATCGGATAAATAGACGAATGGAGGATGATCTTATGGTGTTGTGTGAATGTGATACAACTTAAACTGTAAAGACACCTGATTATTGTGTTGGTTGTTATAATATGGCACAGTATTATAATTTGGTTGCTGAAAACGGTGTACCAATAGTGATTGACGATGGACAACAATACTGCACTGTCGATGGAAATATACGATTTGTTGTGCAGGATCTTAATAATTGTGTCAATGGGGGTACGAGATTTGTGACGTATACACCGGCTGTACAGAATAGAGATCATATATGCACACAGACTGGTGAAGAGTCGCAGGGACAAATTGATCAGAGGTATTTCATTCTTATTTCACTACTCTCAAAGTATCAGGATTTTTTTCTACTCCAGCTTGCACTTCTCGGAGGAGAAATCCTTTCGTATCTTATTTTTCAGCCATCCGTGATCGGGATATTTATTTTTTTTCGCATAATTTTTTCGCCATAATTTCTTTGAGAAATTCAGCATCTTTGAATTATTGAATTTCATGAATTAATTATGAATCATTGAATTTCATGAATTAATTATGAATTTTTATTTTTATTTGAAAATGTTCTCATTTCATTATTCACTGTTTATTATTGTTATTATAATTCTGGAGAGAATGTCCTAGAAGTTTTACTGGGTAGGACTTCTTTTTTTTATTTTCTTGTTCATTCGATTTGAAGATGTATCAAAATAGGTGTTTTTGAAAAAAAAAAAAAAAATGGTACAAACGCTGGTTGTACGAGGAGCTACCGAAACACTGTAAATAAAAACAGCCAATTCCAATATTTACAAAAGTGATAAAGAATAAATATAAAAGACATTTTAAGATGTATTAAAAAAATTTTTAAGCATTCGCGAGTAATAACACTCCATTGAAGAGTAAAAAATAAAATCTTAATTCCAGACAAAACGTCTACATAATAAACACAGAGGACCACGTTTCCTTCCCCCCACCCCTAAAGCCGACAACCTCCCCCGAGACCTCAAATTTTCTAATAACGGACACTAAAAACCCCAATGACCCCCAGGTCCAGTGGGTGACAATCTCCGATCCTTCAAAGATGTCGCCAAAGCCCCAGCCCCCGCAGAAGCCCCAGACGACCCCCCAATCAACGTCAAAACGTCCCCTAAAAGCCAAGACACCCCAGCAAATGCCATCCCTGGTACGTCCCAAAATTCTTCCGCCTAAGCCCTCACCCCGTTCCCCAATTCATCCAGATCCCCAGAAGGCCCTAAAGTCCTTGCCACAAGCCCTGACCAATCCAAAAGTTCCCACTCAAATTCCCAAAAGTTCTCCCCTCCACAAACCACCCACCACCACCCCGAAAAATGTAATCAACAAGGGCGCTCACACCCTGGGTAACTACGCCGACATGGGTTTTCTCTGCGAGAGAATAAAACATGCTAGAAGTTGCCAGGGAAAATCCTCTCAGTCCACTCCCACCCCACCAAAACCAATCCTCACTCCACAAAAATCTCCACCTCCTAGACCACAACATAAGCAGATGGAATCACCACCTGAGCAGATGGAGATCGATGGATCGACTCTAGATCTTCATAATTCAACCGACACCGACGCTGGGTCGGAGTCGATAGCCTATCTGCAACAGACCATCACAAATCCCCAACAGACTATTGTTCAAGAGCAGATCAAGGGGAATACCGCTAAGATGCTGGTGGTTTTGCCAACGGGGGAGCAACGGTTGATCACTTTTGACATACCTAACGAGGAATGCACTGTTCAGGATTTATTGGAGCAGGCGAACATTCCTCCGAATGGTATGTCGTCAGATTTTTTACAATTAACAAGTAGCTGTACCATTCTGTGATCTAATCATGGTTCAACATAAAATATTTTCTTGTTCAATTTTTCCTAAATATGGATTATTTGATTAGGATACTTTTTAGTATTGCTCGACCTCCAATATTTTACTCACATAAAAAATAATATTAATTTTGTAATCTTTTACATTTATTACACGAATTATGTGTTTCCCACTCAATTTTTCCTTTGACGTCACTCATGATTTTACCCTGAATGTAAATGATTCCTCTTCCTCTGGAGCGATGATTGTCACAACATAATGATCGGTGTCCACAGGTGAAACCACAGTTTCCCTCGTGAAAGACCCGATTCTCCACATAAACTACATCGTCGAAAGTGGCGAAGGAGGCGTAATCTCGATGGTAGGGGATAATGACACTCCTGACGACAGTATGAATGAATATGCCACCTCCGACTGTTCCCAGGGGGTGGCCAGCCCAGACGAGTCCAATTTCTCTACCGAAGATCGTAAATTCGTTGACAATCAACTGGCAGTCTGTGCCCACTGCGGCTGCTGCTCCATGGACTTCAACAGATGCGCCAGATGCAAGACAAAAATACCAGACAACCCGAAAACAGTTCCAATGGTAATGAGCCAGAAGAGAGAAAGTGTAATATCAACCGATAGCTTTTACTCCAGAAAAAAACCCGAAGCTGTAACGAAGGACATGAAGAAACCAAAGTTTCGGATAACAAAGCCAACAAACTCCAAGGCGAAACCTTTCAAGGAGCCGGAATGCCTGACCCTTTCATCTGATGATGAAGAGGACAATTCCAGCAAGAAGTCGATGAAGAATGACAGCCTGAAGACATCACATCTACTCATCAGTAAGAACTCGAACACTGAAGATCTGCCGTTGCTCTCCGACAAAGAGCCTATCATCACGAACACTTTGAAACCATCAGATACATCTCTGGATGACAGCAGCACATTGGGCAACATGACAAGCGTCATCAGCACGTCATTGTCCTGCAGAACAGTGAGAATAGGATCCTACAAGTACGTTCCCCGTGAGAAAGTAATAATGAATTCATCAGGTCTGATACTCTCCGTGCCGCTCCTAGAAGACGAAAAGAAAAACGTCTCCATTCACGTGAAAATATCATCGATTGTCAAAGTACTGATTCATTTTGGCAAGGCAATGCCAGTGCTGTTCTTCTATACATCGACAAAATCCGGTGAGCAAATACGTGGTGTTCTGGGTATGCAGGATCCCCTTGGTGCATATTACGATCCAGCAGGCAAGGATCACACCCACAAACGTATCACTCTCCTCCCAGAGAAGATATCAGAGGAGTCAAGGGTGGTTCTCAAGCAGCTTTTCATGCAGAATAATCTGTGCGAGGAGTTGAATTCGAAGGAAGCTAATGATATTCTGATGAAGGCGTCACCCAAGGACAACGTACAGAACACCAGAAGAGTGTCGACAACCGGAGGTACCAATGGGATTGTCGAGAAGATCACAGTGTATCCACCACCACCAGCTAAAGGTGGAATAGCCCTCAATACCGAGGACTACGCCTGTCTCGGTGAGGATCAATTTCTCAATGACGCAATTATTGATTTTTATCTGAAGTATCTCACCCTGGAGAGGCTGTCTGATGAGGACGCAAGCAGAACTCACGTATTCAGCTCGTATTTCTACAAGAGATTGACATCGCTGACGCAATCCGGTGACAGTGTCAATGTGTCACCGGCTGTTAAGAGACACGCCAGGGTGCAGAAGTGGACGAAAAACGTGAATATATTTGAGAAGGACTTCGTTGTAATACCTATCAATGAACACGCTCACTGGTTTTTGGCGATCATCTGCTTCCCAGGGCTTGTCGGTGTTGTTAGTCCTCCAAAAGCACCTGTTAAGGTTGAGAAGGATAAGAAGAGGGTGGGAGAAGGGCCTGCGAAGGGTGACAAGGTCAAATTACAGAGTATGACCATTGGCAGTACGACGATTACACCTGTTACCACAGAGGCAACAACTATCACTATCGATCCTGCTGACGATCTCAGTGAGCGTGATGAGGCTGAGGGTGATGATGAGGAGCTCATGGAGACTAGTGATGAGGAGGGCAAGGAGGAGGATGATAAGGGCGAGGAGAGGGTGAAAATTGAGGTAAAGGAGGAGGTGAAGGAAGAGCTTGATGAGGTCCATCATATTCCATGTATTCTGATATTTGACTCGCTGGCTGGACCTGGGAGGGCTAGAGTCGTTGCTACTCTCAGGGATTATCTCAGTTGTGAGTATCAGGCGAAAATGGGAAAAGAGAAGATATTCTCCAGGGATACCATCAAAGGCGCATGTCCCAAAGTACCTCAGCAATCAAATTTCACCGATTGTGGACTCTATGTTCTGCAGTATGTCGAGGCCTTCTTTGGGACTCCCATTAAGGATTACAGATTGCCCATAAAGACTCTGAAAAATTGGTTTGAGGAGATTGTTGTCACTAGGAAGAGGGAGGATATTTCAAAACTTGTGGTTAAATTGATGCTTGAGGGAAAGGGGGATAGGAATATTGTACTGCCTGTTGTTCAGTTTCCAACGATTGAGGGTAAACTCAGGCCCAGAACTGAAGCCGAGAAGAAAGAGGAGAAGAGGGTCAAGGAGGAGGAGAAGGAGAAGGAGAAGGAGGAGAAGACTACTACTACTACTTATGTACTCGTGCCTGCTGCTGGCGTTGTCAATTCTGATGGAAATGTTGAGTTGACGATTAGTGGGGTTGATAAGGCCAAGTAAGTTTTCTAGGTTATGTCGATTTTTTAAATATTTTGGCGGGAAATAAAATTGTGAGGTTATGGAGGGGAATTTAGCAACCGATGGTAAATTTTTCGGATGTTGTGGGGCACGATGGATTTTGGAAAATATAAATTTTTCGTATAGTTTTAGTTTTGAAAATTTTTTATTTAAGGTTTTTAACTGTATTGTTTTAATTTCATTTTTTATTAATTTGACGAGAACTTACAGCTTTTTTTCGTTTTTGCAGATTAACAGGAACTCCCCAAATGTCATTTCTACGAACGAAAAGAATTCCTAGGCTGATACGAGAATCACCCAGCCAAACTAGTGAAGTTTCAGCTAAGAAGCACAAGGGAGACAATGATTCCTGTAAATAATTAATAATTAATAAAAAAAGTAAACATTTGTTTTCATTACCATTTTTTTATATAAAGAAGAATCATTTAGTCAGAGCATTCTTAAACTTAATGAAGGATACAATTGAGAATAAGTGCGGATGATGATGATGTATCGAGGGAATTCGTTTTACCGATGTAACAAAGTATGTAGTTAGCTACTTGATAAGTTGAATAAAATCATTAAGATCCAATCTTCTCAATAAAATCATTTGTTTTGTCATTAATGCAACGCCGACATTTTTATTAATAACCCGAAGACTAAGGGAAAAATAAACTGCGAAAAAAAAATTTTTTTCATTGTCGCATATGTAGACTATAAAAAAATGCATTTTTCGATTTTTTCGGTCATAATTTTTTCTCGTATCAAAAAATACAAGACCTGAGTTCCAGCGATTGCAACAATTACAAAAAGTACAAGCCCGTGTGAAAAAAAATTTTCCATTATTCGAATTCAATTCAATTGAATATTATTTCTACATAATTGACCGCTGAAAATTTTTAGTGGCTATTTAAAGAGCTGCAGCAGTTATATTTGGGTAGAAGTGCCCTCGAACCTTGCCAAGAGTCTCCCAGCATCGCAGTGTCATCGTCATAATGGAAATAATGTTAAAATGGGATTTAATTCGTGAGTTGAGGTTTCTGTTTGGGTCGAGTGGAGTTTTATAATTTTTTCGTGGATACGTCATCTGAACTCAGTGAGTAAATAATTCATATCCATGTAAAATCAATTAACGATTAATTTACCGCTGAAAAAAGGTGGAAAAATATTTATAAATAAAAATTCCTCGCCGAGAATAAATTAATAATAATTTTGCGGCATCGTTTGAGTGTTTTTTTTTGTGGGTATTTTAATTTTATTTTCTTTATTATCCCGTAACTTTCGGTATTCGTAGGACGGAAAAGGCGTCTCTTGAGGCAATTGTAGTTATTTTGTTACATCAATGTGGCCTTGCAGTAATGAACGAGATATTGTCGATCATAAACCAAATTTGAGTGATTTCGAAATGTTTTTCCGTGAAGGAGAAAATATTTTATATTTTCTATTCATATACTGAATAATTCGTTGTTGATAAAAATAATTTGAATAATTCTTTAATAATTGTTTAATTATTTTCTTTATAATTCTATCGAAAAAATGTATCAATTTACATGTCATTAATTAAAAAATTGTAAAACAAGTAAAAAGAATTGTTTTTGTAATTTCAACGATTTTTTTCGTGTTAATTTTTCGGTTCAGTAAATTACAGGTATAATTATAGATATTCTGGAGAAATTGAATAGAAATAATTGGTGAGCCATGACTGCATCAATATTCGCTCTGGTGGTCTCAACCCTGTACATCATTCTGACGAGCCTAATTGCATATTGGGCGAGGAAATACGTGAAATACTACACACAGCGGCCATTCTTGCGGGACTTGTTTCTAGAGGGGATTGCCACTGCTGAGTTATGCGGAGCGTGCTTCGAACTGATCATAAGTAATTAGAAAGGGCAATGAGATTTGTCCAACCAATCCTTCATTGATTCATCAATTTTTCTCGTCCAATCAATTGTTTTAGCTTCACTAGGATAGTGAGCTACTACAGACAGAAAACTATTCCCTTGATACTTTTCGCATTTTTCAATTTCAGTGAATACCTCCTCGATGTTCATGCTCCCCTGATACTTTTTTGAAAATTTCGAATTTTTCAATTTCAGTGAATACCCCCTCGATTCTCATGCTCCCCTGATACTTTTTTGAAAATTTCGAATTTTTCAATTTCAGTGAATACCCCCTCGATTCTCATGCTCCCCTGATACTTTTTTAAAAATTTTGAATTTTCAAATTCCCGTGAATAACTCCTCGATGTTCATGCTCCCCTGATACTTTTTTGAAAATTTCGAATTTTTCAATTTCAGTGAATACCTCCTCGATTGTCATGCTCCCCTGATACTTTTTCAAAAATTTCGAATTTTTCAATTTCAGTGAATACCCCCTCGATTCTCATGTCCCCCTGATACTTTTTTGAAAATTTCGAATTTTTCAATTTCAGTGAATACCTCCTCAATTGTCATGCTCTCCTGATACTTTTAAAAAAATTTTGAATTTTCAAATTTCAGTAAATACCTCCTTTATTTTCATGTTCCCCTGATACATTTCGAAAAATTTCGAAATTTCAAATTTCAGGGAATACCTCCTCCATTTTTATGCTCCTCTGATACTTTTTTGAAAATTTTTCATTTTTCAATTTCAGTGAATACCAATTTCGTAACACAGAAAATAAAACTCACCCGGTTCACTGGTCTCCCTCACAGCGGGACTGCTACTGAGGGCAAACACCCCACCATTGGGCCCACCCCACCCCACCTCACCCCCACTGAGCAGCTCAGTTCTGGGGGTTTGAGTGACCCCATAGGCGGGGTAGTACCTCACCCCAAAAGAAAGAGGGGGTCGCACCCAATGGTGGGGGGTCTGCCCGTCAGCCGACTCGGTAACTGCCCTCAGTAGCAATCCCGCTGTCGGAGGGACCACTGGGCGAATTTTATTTTCTGAAAATTTAAAATTTTTCAATTTCAGTAGATACCTCCTCGATTCTCATGCTCCCCTGATACTTTTTAAAAAATTTTGCATTTTTGAATTTCCGTGAATACCTCCTCGATTCTCATGCTCCCCTGATACTTTTTAAAAAATTTTGCATTTTTGAATTTCCGTGAATAGCTCCTCGATGTTCATGTTCCCCTGATACTTTTTTGGAAATTTTGAATTTTTCAATTTCAGTGAATAACTCCTCGATTCTCATGCTCCCCTGATACTTTTTTTAAAATTTCGAATTTTTCAATTTCAGTGAATAACTCCTCGATTCTCATGCTCCCCTGATACTTTTTTTTAAATTTCGAATTTTTCAATTTCAGTGAATACCTCCTCTAATCTCATGCTCCCCTGATACTTTTTAAAAAATTTTGAATTTTCAAATTTCCGTGAATAGCGCCTCGATTTTCATGCTGCCCTGATATTTTTCTGAAAATTTCGAGTTTTTCAATTTCAGGGAATACCTCCTCGAATTTTATGCTCCCCTGATACTTTTTAAAAAATTTTAAATTTTCAAATTTCCGTGAATAGCTCCTTGATTTTCATGCTCCCCTGAAACTTTTTTAAAAAATTTGAATTTTTCAAATTCAACGAATACCTCCTGGATTCTCATGCTCCCCTGATACTTTTTCAAAAATTTCAAATTCCAAAAACGAATTAAAAATGATATTCTGAAATATCCAGAATATGAAATACCCATGTATTTTTATCCAGTCGCTGACAACTGGGGAGTGTCAATGTACGCGATCTACCTCTTCGTCTTGACCGTCTGGTGGTCCCTGAACTGGGAGGACGCCACCGCGTGTCCGTACACCCACCTGGAGGACTTGGTGGAGAGTAAAAAGTCCCTGCGAGAGGCTTTCCTCCTCATCTGGGCGGAGCTCGTCGGCGGTCTCGTTGTCTTCAGGTACATCCAGGTCCTCTGGGCCCTGGAGATCGTTCCCACCCACAAGAACAGGGCCTTCGAGGATTGCACCACTGACCTCCAGGTACCCGTCATCATCGGGGCATTCGTCGAGTGCATTGCCACATGCATCTGCCGAATTGTCTCCAGGGGACTTGGGGAACTCAATCCCAAATTCAGCAACATCATTGATTCATTCGTGGGAACAACTCTAGTCGTTGCTGGTGAGTCACAATTTGTTTGATGAAGGGCCCAAGAAAGTTATGAGAATTTCAGTTTTTATTTTTCCCCTTCAGCCTTTAATTACTCTGGAGGATATTTCAATCCTGCGTTGGCAACAGCTCTCAAATATGGCTGTCTAGGTACAAGTGTAATTGAACATGTGATTGTGTACTGGGTGGGAGCCTGTGCCGGGTCCATAGCATCCATACGAATTTACCAGCACCCGATCATCCAGGATTTCGTTAAAAAACAAAAAGCTAAAGCGCACTAATTTATTTTTGAAGAGATGTGGGAGTAATAAAGATTATTTGTAAATAATTTGGATAATTTGTTTAGAGATATATAATTTATGGTGAGATGTTTTTAATTGCAGGACTTCTGATAGTATTATATTAGAATTTATTGACATTCTCAAGACATTTGAATTTGTCGATTGTTTAAATATTAAAGTTCGTTACAACATTCCTTTCTTGATGTAATAAATCGCTGATACGAATTTTCATTTACCCTCATAACGTAAACAGACATCAGAGTTTCTGGCCGGATTTTATTCCTATCAATTTCGAGATAAGGCCGGACTATCCTCAATTCGTTTAATTAGATTTCACTAATGAAGTTGTGGGACTTCGAGACTCTGGGGGAGAGACATGAGAATTCCTTCACAGTTGGTCTCTGACCTTCTGTCACTTGAAAAGTTCCTCCAAAGAATCTCCAAAACCAATTCAAATAATTATTCCTCGCATTAGGATAATTTTCTATTTATTTTTTCCACAAAAATTAATTTATCGTGGTCGAATGCGAATTTAGAAATAATTATCTCGTCAGTATTGTTGCTGATATTTATAACAACGGATGGAATGAGTCGTGGAATTTATTAGTTTGTGGAGTTGAAGGACGAAAATGACGAAAAAATTTGAGTTCAACTGGCAAATTGAGGTGCCAGAATTTTTGAGAACTGGTGCGACATTCGATCGTTGGTATGAGGATAAGGAAACGACAGAGTATGAACCCGATGCGTTATTCAAAGTCGATGAATATGGATTTTTCATGTATTGGAAGAGCGGCCCCAAGGTAAATAATTTTTTTCAAGAACCGTCCTCCCTACTAAGAATTCAAACGACGAAAAAAATCGCGCGCTTCATTAATTCTTCGATAATCCAATAAAAAGTCAAAAATTGAATCAACTTTGGAATAAAAAAAAATCGATTCAAAATTTGAATCAATTTCGAATTTTATGACAGAATCCCAGAAGATGTCGGGGCTCACCCGATGCTTTCCGCCATTTTGTCGGCGCCGTTCTAAGATTCAAAATGGTGGAAAGCATGGAATACCTCTTGAATCTATTTATTTTATGATTATCAGGATGGAGATGTTATGGAATTGGCGCAAGTGTGCGATATTCGGTATGGAGGGACCCCAAAAGATCCCAAATTATGTAATAAATTGAGTAAACATGGAACCACAGAGCAATTGGACGCAAAAAGTCTCACCGTGTGCTCTGGTTTGGATTACACAAATATTCATTACGAGCACATTGTTCTGTCCAGCCCAGAACAAGCAAAGGTATCGCACTAGGAATTATTCCCTATTCCCCATATTTCTCAAATCAATATTTCATCCGCAATATCCAATAAAATCACCAAAGCAAGAGTATACAAAGACATGAATCAATTAAAAGGCGTATAAAAACGTCGGAAGGTAAAAAATTAATATCTGTAATTGAACAATTAATTATTCCCTTTCCAGGAGTGGCAATCAGGTTTACGATTAATAACGCACAATACGAAAGCCAGCAATGTCTGTCCGATGACCCAATTGATGAAGCAGTGAGTATTCCCTTGAAATGAAAATTGAGATGATTGCTTTCATCTTCATGGAAGACCATTTTTTTTTTAATAAAGATTTTTCTGAATGCTCGCTGCGGAAATATTCGAATTTTAACATAGGATTTTATGTGAGAATTTTTTTCATTCTTTTCAGTCGACAATTATGTACAAGAGTACATAATTTTTATTATGTAATTACGATTCCGATAACCGTAATTACATAATTTTCCTTAATTGTCCACCTCGGTCTGCAGTAATTTAACACCAGAGGGCCGGAGGACCTTCAAATGTCCTTCAAATTCATAAAAAAATTGATTATAATCTGTTTTGTCCTGCCAGTTGGATGCGACTTCGTTTTTCTACCGATCCCAAGGGAAAAATCCCGGTCAAGGTCATCGCGAAAACCTTTGCTTCCGGAAAAACTGAGAAACTCGTGTATCAGTCTTTGTCGGAGGAGGGGCTTCCGAATGGAAAAGTGGGTGCCATTTTATTTTATTGGAGAAATCCGATTTTTTCGCAAATAATAATTTCACAGAAGGATCTATCTCCTTATTATTTACATTAATTTTCGATCAATTTTCTCGTCATTCCAGAGCGACAAAATAGACGTCGAAGCTTTTACCCTCGAGAAATTTAAATCCCTGTACTTCAAATTATGTCCTAGGAATGACATTGAGGAATTATTCTCGAGCATGTGAGTGTCAGTCGGCGAAACCTAACGCGAGATATGAAAATTATTTATTATTGTTAACGCCAATCGATCTGGTCTTGAATTTTTCTTCTTTCAGAACATCCGGTAAAAATGATGCGATCAGTTTATCCTCACTTGTGAATTTTATGAATGAGAAGCAGAGGGATCCCATGCTCAATGAAATTCTGTATCCCCTGTATGATGAGAAGAGGTGTACAGAAATAATTAATGATTACGAGCCAGATGAAACCATGAGAACAGCCAGTAATATCAATATTTTAAATAAATAAAATACGGGGAAAACGTTGCCCCAAAAATGACCAATCAAAATGAAGAGAAAGCTCTAACAAATTGATCTATCGGAATTGATTTATTGATTAATTTTCTAAATTCAATTATCTAACGAAAATGAATTCAAATGTTTAAAAATGCGGATTAATTGATGGACGTGGCAGCCGCCATTTTACTGGAATACTCCGCAAGGGATTCTGCAAATGGCGGCGCCTCCACCTCGCATTTTTCATCAACAATTAAAATGAGTTTTCTCTCCTCAGCATCAGTCCTCTCAATTACGTGATATTAAATTCTGCGATCGAATGGTTAAAATTAAAAAATGGATTTTAACTCCTAGAAAAAATGTCGAAGGATGGATTCGTCAAGTACTTGATGAGCGACGAGAATGCTCCAGTCTTTTTGGACAAACTGGAGGAGTGGATGGACATGGATCAACCTCTGTCCCATTACTACATCAATTCCAGTCATAACACTTATCTGAGTGGTCGTCAGATCGGTGGAAAAAGTACTGTAGAAATGTATCGACAAGTTTTACTAGCCGGTTGTAGGTAATACCACAAACGGATCGCCAATTTTTCACCATCAATGTTTCAACCTTGAAATACAACAATTCTAAATCAAAAACTGTTTTATAATTCGACTTTCTCCATTTTATTCATAACAATTGGCTCATGTTGAAAAAAATGTTCAAATGATCAAATGACGATAATTAATCAAATTATCTATTTTCAAATTAATGACAATGATTGAAGATGCGTCGAGTTGGACTGCTGGGATGGAAAAGGTGAGGACGAGGAGCCTATAATAACTCATGGAAAAGCCATGTGCACAGACATCCTCTTCAAGGATGTGATTGTCGCACTGAGAGATTGCGCATTCGTTACGAGTGATTATCCAGTAATCCTGAGCTTCGAGAATCACTGCTGCCTGAAGCAACAGTACAAGCTGGCGAAATATTGTAACGACATTCTTGGAGATCTGCTGATGACTGAACCACTCAAAGATCATCCGGTGATTATTTCTCTAAACTTTTATCACATCGTTAATAAATTGATATGACTGCAATGGCAATCACATAAATTGCGATTTAATTAGAGAAGAAGAGGGTGAAATATCCTCCCCTTCCCTAATTATAAATTCCCATTAATTTCCCTCGCAGTTGGAACCAGGATCACCCCTGCCTCCCCCCAGTGCGCTCAAGCGGAAAATTCTCATCAAGAACAAGCGTCTTAAACCGGAAGTGGAGAAGGTCGAGTTAGAGTTGTTTAAGTCGGGCCAATTCGAGGCTAAGGACGAGGTGGTGGAGGATCCTAATGCTCCTCCCTCTGAGGCACCTCCACCAGAAGCTGCAGCACCACCACCTGGTGAAGGTGGTGAGGGGCCACCGGGGGAAGGGGGTGACGCCGCGGTCGCGACCCCCTACAGTGGCAGCACCATGGCCTGTCATCCCTGGTTATCATCAATGATTAATTATGCCCAGCCGATAAAATTTCAAGGGTTTGACGTCGCCGAAAGTAAGCGCATCCTGTTGGATTTCATTCTCGAAATATGCACGCCGATATTTTCCTGCATCGAAGTGATCCATTTTTAAACATTACCCCTATTACCAAATCAATTAATTAATTGATTGGAATTAATGAATTGAAATTAATTGATTCTAATTTTTCCTTTCACCTGTTGCCCTTCAAAGTCTCGGCGATGCGCATTAAAATTTGATATTCTTGAAATCCAATTTGAAATTATTTTACTTTTCATGTTTAATTAGGTCTCAATTATTTCTGATCATTACACACCACCGAACATGTCCTTTTCAGAGAAAAATATCCATCATAACATGAGCTCATTCTCGGAGACAGCAGCCCTCAACTATCTGAAGACATCAGCAGTGGAATTTGTTAATTACAATAAGCGACAGATGAGTAGAATATATCCAAAGGGTACCAGAGCTGATTCCTCGAATTATATGCCTCAGGTGTTCTGGAATGCCGGCTCACAGATGGTTGCATTGAACTTTCAAACGCCAGATTTACCCATGCAACTTAATCAGGGAAAATTTGAGTTCAATGGAACAACTGGGTACTTGTTGAAGCCGGAGTTCATGAGGAGAGCTGACAAAACGTTTGATCCATTCGCAGAGGGGGTGGACGGTGTTATCGCAGCTTCCTGCTCTGTCCAGGTGCAACAGAATGACAATTCGGAATTCAAAAAGACTTCCCCTTGATTCAATCAATTTTTAATTCCTTTTTTTTCCTCAAGGTCATAGCTGGACAATTTTTATCTGACAAGAAAGTCGGGACCTACGTCGAAGTTGATATGTACGGTCTACCAGCTGATACAATCAAAAAAGAATTTCGCACGCGTATGATTCCAGCGAATGGTCTCAATCCCGTCTATAACGAAGAGCCATTTGTTTTTCGTAAGGTAGTTCTTCCGGATCTCGCTGTTCTTCGGTTTGGTACGTGGAAATTATTACTCTCAAATAATTTTATCGAGTTCGCGATAGAGAAATTACTGATAATTTTTTTGTGTTAGCTGCAACCGACACTGGCGGTTTTCTCTGGAATTATCAATTTTTTTTTAGGGGTCTATGATGAAAGTGGAAAACTTCTCGGCCAGAGGATTCTACCCCTCGATGGATTGCAAGCCGGATATCGCCACATTTCCCTCAAGACCGAAGCCAACTTTCCGATGGCACTTCCCATGCTGTTCTGCAATATTGAAATCAAAATTTATGTTCCCGATGGGTTTGGAGGTAATTCATTTTTTTCTCTCTTCAATCTGGAAAATTTTCTTTTCTTTATTTTCGTCTGGGACCGTCCAATTTTTTTTTTTAAGTTTGAGATCAGACCACGACGTCAGGGTGGCGCGTCGGTTTCGTCTCACGGTCATTCGAGATATTTCGAGACACTTCGAGATCGATTTCCTTTCTCTTTCGATTTCTCCAATTGAGTAATTTCCAGGCGATAACCATTAGAATCTGACGGTTTTCGATGATTTCCAAATCAGCGAAAAAAAAATGATTATGACTCGTGTAAAATGGATTAAACAGTTGGAATGTTATCCAGACTTTATGGCGATGCTGTCGGATCCCGGTGGTTTTGCAAAAGCAGCGGAGAAGCAAGCGGAGAACATGAAGAACCTCGGAATTCAACAGACCGAGCAGAAGAAGAAGGAGGAGGGACCCAAATGGGGTAAGATATTCCACTTATCGTTTAATATATCAGTGGTAATTAAATGTAATCGTTCAATCAATTACACCAGAGGAATTCAAGCCCGAGCCAATTACTCTGGATTCATTGAGGCGTGAAAAGGCATACAAACTCGGTAAAAAGCAGAGTAAGGAGTTGGATTCACTGAAGAAGAAGCAGAAGAAGGAGAAAGAGACTATGTTAAAGGCCCATTGTACAGCTATGGAAAAATTGACCAAGGGAAAGGAGTGAGTAAATATATCGTTTTCATTAGGGTGATAATCCAAATGAGAGCTGCTGGATCATTAGGTATTACGGCGTCTATTAAAATGATTTTTTAACGGATATCATTGCGCATTCTTTCTCCTAAAAATTGACAGTAAAAATGCCATATTGGCCGACGCTAATGTGAAAAAAGTCGTTAAAGAACAGACCCAGCAGTGGTCCGAGATGATGGGAAAGCACAGAAAGGAAGAGTGGGAAATGCATAAGGCCCACATCACTGCTGGCAAAGACGAGTTCAAGAGAGTTATGGAGATCGTTCAGGCTGGGCAGTTGAAACAATTGCAGATTAAACAGGACAAGTAATTTGAGATCATTTATCTGTCTATCGAACAAAATAAAGATGAACGTGAGCCTTTCAAGTGTATAATCAAAATGCAACTGGAACTGTCGAAAAAAAACAACACGCTAATTCTGTAAATTTTTACAAGAGTTGATCATGTTGTATGTCTTGGCGAATAATTTATTTTTATATCTTCTAGGGATTCCAAGGACTTGAATGCAAGTCAAGCGAAGGTGAATGCCGAGACAGCGAAAGACGTTGCCAACGACAAAGCATTAAAAACTAAAGGTGACAAGGAGCGACGACTTCGTGAGAAGAAGCAGAATAACATAAAGAAATTTACGGAGGAGAGGAAAACATTGGGAATTAGGCAGGATCGAGAGTCCGGTAAGATAAAGACACTCCATGAGAAGCAGATTGCGGATTTGGAGAAGACAATCGAGTGCACTTTCGAGAGGTACAATCACGCTGCCATGAATTACGAGATGTCGTCGAAATTCGAGTTTATGGTGTAATGACTATCGATTGTCCAGTTATTGAATTCACCGATAATTCATAAATAAAATTTCGAATTTTGATTATGAGTTTCAGTTGGAATTCTGCATTTAATCAGATGAGTTTATGTCGAATAATGGATTTTCAAACTAATCGAGATCTCGAACCAAAAGTCGCTTTGTATCGATCATTTCTCGATGGAATTCAGCTTTCTGTTGAATCACTCTTCGAGATATTCTGAAGAATGTGAATGAATGCCAGATGCAGAAATAATCGCTGTTACCAATAGCCGATTTCTGATTCGATTTATGAGTCATGTAGCCAGTTGTTTTAAAATACTCAAGTTCTGGAGGCAATGTGATGATAATAAAAAAAATCAAACAATGATTAATTCGTGTTGAATTTGTTCATCAAATACTTGAGCGTTTCCACTCGAAAAAACCGAGATGTCACGATCATTTTCAGTTGCATGTTTTTCCCTCTCATCATCATCTTTTTTTCTTGAAACCGATGAGTCACGGAGCTTGTCGAGTGTACCTTCTTCACTACCTCTTCGTTGGCTCATCGAGATGAGCCTTTGGTTTTCACTCTGGCTTTCAGTTCGGCGCGAACTGTTCGAGCGAGTGCACGTGTCGCTCTTCCGGGTACGACGCAAATAACACGTGTGATCGTTCCAATTTTTTAAACTTTATCGCCGAGAACCAATAGTTTTTTTAATCCAATATTTAACAGAACTATTAATTCTGAAGAATGCAACATTTCCATTTTAATTAATAACTCTCAAAATCTTGAATTTTCTCAAATTAAAAAAATTGTTTTTGTGGGTCAATCGCGCAAATTTCATTTCACATTTGATAAATTTTTTATAAATATATTGTCATCGTTTTTGTTTCATATCGCCGATGATGTTTATAATTAATTCAAGATAAGACGGGGTAATATGGATTTTTAATATTTTTGGGAAAATTTTGAGAGAGGAGTTGCTTTTTTTTGGAGACGTAGGAATTTTATTTGGTGACAGTGATGTCATGCTGTATTTGACGGAAGCTAAAAGGTGTTACTGTTGCAAACAATTAATTGCTAGGCGGGGGATCAGAGGACTGACCCCATGGGGTCAGTTGGCCAGTGGAGATATTGCGGGTGATGATGTTCAGTGCCAGGATAGAAACGAGTCACTGTTTAATTGAAAAAAAAAACACTGGTCTATTCATAAAATTACAACAATCCCTTTTTCATCATGAGGAAACTCGGCATTTCCTCTTTTATATATTCCTCGATCGATCAATTGTTCACTAAAAGAATAATTTAAAAAGTTATTACAATATTTTAATGGATATTGTAATATTGTTATTTGGATTTATGGTATAAATAATTGGAGTGCGCTAATTAGAGAGTGGAGTATATAAATTCGGATTGAACGTGTTTTTTGTGGTTTTTTTTTGCTGGTTTGTTGCTCGGGACTGTTAAATAAATGGTGAAGATGTTGAAAATATGTCGGGAGAGTGGATTTCACGTGCAACGGGAATGTGTAAATGAAGACACTGAGGGCATTAAAAAAATGAGATCGCGAGGTGCATTAACTCACGGACAATTAGATTTAAAATGTGAAATTATTTAAACCTGTTCAGGGTATTATCAGACGTCTCGAGGATGCCCTAGAACTCATGACACTCATCGTACGGGTCACGTGTTGTTTAAACAAATTAGAGGCGAGTGATCGAATCGTTTGTTTATCGGAAATTCGGAAATAATTAGCGAATAAATTTTTATTACAAATTTTATCAATTGAGAGGTGGTAGAAATTATAAATAAATTATAAGTAAAATTACGAATGGGCTGGTAAAATTAAATAGAAATGGTGAAGTGAATTGGATATAGAGAAAAATCAGATGTGATTTTGGATAGATTAATGTGAGGGGTTGGGTGAACCATGGGGTTGTGTGAGAACGTGGCTTTTTTGAGGCTGCTACCCACATCCGGTTACCAGATCGTGTGGACATGGGACGCCGGAAATGGAACAATGATCAGGATGACGACGAGCGCATCATCGACATCGGATTGCTTCGTCGAGCTCGTTAATCTCGTCGTCGTGATCATCTCCCTTATCGCGACATTATGTCTCATCGTCAAGTATCGATTGACGGATCAGCGAAGGCTAGTTAAATCCACGATCATCAATTTTTAAATAATAAATGAAAAAAAATTATTATTTACTAGAGTCTCCAAGATTCGCGAGTCGTTATCATCTGTTTCAATTATTCACGTAAAAAATTATAATTCATTTCGAGAGTTGGAGAATCAGTTTCGAACTTCGACTTTTTTAATTTTTATTTTTTTGTTAATTATGATTGATTATTTAATTTCCATTTCCAGTCAAGTTCAGAGGTAGGAATTTTTTGCCGATAGAATTCTTCAGATTTTAGTGTGATAATTTGGTTTTACGTTTTCAAAATGATATCCAAATCCGATTGGTCATTGATTAGACCCATACATTTGCGCATGGGCGTCCGCGCAGTCCCGCCTCCCGCCTCCCCGCGTAAAGCTCGGCCCCCCAATTTCCGTTGCTGTTTTTCGTTGCCCCATAATTTTCCTATCTCAAAAATTTCGATATTAAGAAAGCATTTCCACAAGAGCAAGACAGAGTGATATATAGAAATTCAAACGCGGTAATTCCTAAATTACGTCACACCCCCAATTCCACGAATTTCGATTGATCTTGGTTAAACCCGAGGGATTCCCGGCTCTTGAACATCTGTTTAAGATGCACAAGAGCGGGTGACTCAGACCACACGTTGCGGCTGAGTACAAACAAACCTCCACTCATCTCTGATGACTTTATTCCAAAATGACTTAAACCGATGACTGGGCTCATTCATTTTTTCCAACGACTCGGTGTCGAGGGACTACTAACGACCGACACGTGTACATATTCCACGACATTACGACGAATACATGTTGAAAAAAATTGTTTGATTATCTCTTCAAGTACTTTTGATATTGTAGAAACTAGTTTTTCAGGGTGAAAACTTGTTTTCAGTGGACTTGCTCATATTTAACGGCACAAGTGTTTTATCACACCAATTTTCACACTTTAATATCTCCCGGTTTAATGCTCAGTGATTTTTTATGTTGTGGATCTTCAGGTTCGCGAGTTATTAGTAAAAAAAATTCTGGAAAATTCCGAGAAAATTCATACACTGGAAAATTTCAGACTCTAAAGACAGGGTATAAACGCCTCCCCGTCCGTAAAGTCGGACTTTTTCGCACGGACTTATCCATATCAATATTTCCGGGATCAAGTCCCACGTGAAACTAGAACTTTTCGCCCGCTGACCCGTGCGCAAAATTGGACATTTCCCACAATTCGCTAACTCAACCACAACAAGAGCTACAGTCACGATTTTTTTTTTAAATTTGATGTTAAATTTCCCTGGCTCTCCAATGAACCACGAATCCTCTGTCTCTCGTTATGCTCTTCGTAATCATCATCAAATCCTTCGATTAATTAAGGATACGAGTGAGAGAATTGAGGAAGTGAAATAAATACTCGTTTCAATAAATTCCAACAGATGTACAAGCAATCTACTACCCCTCCACACCATCCGGAGTATCCTGTGCCTTCTCCTCCTCATCTTCTTGACTCTGGAATTATCCGAGGGCTTAATTACACACTCATGGCTGCCCCAGTTAATCAGTCTCATAGCAATAATCAGCTGTTGGTTTTTACACCGAGAGACTGAGATTAGAGATGGACTGGGTCTAGCTGTGTCTGGTGGTGCATTCACAACCATCGCTGTCGCCAGATTATGGAGATTAATTCATTTAAATAGATTGGAGCTCGACTTGGGACATGTGAGGACAATTAGCACATTGGGAACAGCAACTGCTTGTGGAGTTTTGGCGGTTGTTGACTCGTACGCGCTTTACCGAGTCGTAAGTTAAAAAAAAATCAATAAATAATCAAAATTAATTTTTTATATCCCAATATAAAGAAACCGAGACTACCAGCAATAATCAAAAGCTGCATATCCATCCCGACAGCGCAATAACATTAAAAAAAAATTATTTTCCTCGAATAATTAATGTTTACACTTTTTATCGCATTAATTATTTATTCTATTCTCTTTATCATCGCGTAAACCTCTGGAGAGCCTCGAGTGTCTCGTAAAAGGGCTATGGGAAATAAGTGGTTCTTCGAAAAATTTAACGCGAGACGTTATTTTACCCCATGGGGTATCCTTGGACCCCACCATTGGAATAAAGATAATGAGGAAGATGTTGAATTTGAGAGAGGAGTGATTTACGCTTCTACAAACACCAGATGGAATAACAAACATTGATGGATAAATATGGTGGCATGTGTGAATATTACAGATGGAGAGGAGCAAGAGATACGATATTCGTGGATCCGGAAATACGCGTACGTCTTACAAGCACTTGCAGTCGGTTTTACTGAGTAAACTGACTTTTCACTGGGTCGTTGAGATTCTTTTACGTGGGTACAGAGCAACACTTGAACTCAATGATCTCGGGGATTTACCCGAGGAGGAATCAACCGTTATACAATTTGAGAGGTTCCGAAGAATTTATGACGACCAAAAAGTAAATCTTACATTATCCATAACAAGTATTATTACTGATCATTATAATTGTTAATCGCTGTTTCACGCGTTTGCTTTATTGGAGAGCCGGGGAATTTTACGTGTCTGCCCAAATTTGTTGAAGACTTAATAAAAATATCGAGTTGAAATGGAGTTTGTTGTGGAATTTATTTTATTTAGAGAACAGGGGGTGGATTGAAAAAATAAAATGTATGCCAATGGTAGAGAAAAGCGAGGAGTGAAAAAGCCCATATGTTGAGAAATGCAGTGACATGTTAACAACCGCCAGTTGATAATCTCGAAATTCAACGAGACTTGATGTTATTTATTAATGAATTGGAATGACTTTGAAGATTTACTTGGAGATAGTGAGCAATGCGATTTATAAAGTCATGTATGATTTGCGTGTTGGGTGTAATGTGGAGGGAGGAGATGGGGCTGACATTGTGGGGATTATTAATAAGACGGAGATATTTGTTTAGAGTGACTTGGAATTTGGGGATATGGATGGACTGACTAATGCCTTGTACTATTTGAGTTTAGCTCGAGTCAACAGGGATTTGTTTTTAAATAATTAGTGGAACCTAGCCACGATGGCTTCTCCTTTTTCATTCACCCTGACGTGCCTCCTCCCCGCGAGCTCCTCGTCAAGGATAACACCCAAAAATTTTCCCGGTCTCAAGATGCTCATGGACTGTATGGAAACGGGAATATTTCCCCTGTCAATTTAATGGGCAATTCCTCCGGCTATCCAATAGGGCTTCCAACCCCAGCATCTGAGAATTAATTAGAATATTTACAAAAAACTTTTAGAGTGTCTCGATTGATGGGCGTCCATCACTCTGGACGTGTTACTGGCGTCGAGTCTGGCCGGCATTTGTACTCGGGGGTGTCCTCAAGTTGTTTGGAGATGCCACAACACTAGTTGGACCCCTGGTGATCTCCAGGATCGTGAATTACGTGGCAATACGGCAGAACTCAACTCATAACAATAAAGATATTTATGGGAGGTACATGACGTGGGATGAGTTGATGGAAAATGGTTATTTTCTTGGTATTATTATTTTTGGGGCTGCTATACTCCAGAGTACATTGAGCCAAGCATCAACCCATTTCTTCAATGTCGAGGGTATCAGACTACGAACTGCCCTCCAGGTATATCTAGTCTGCTTGCAGTTCAATGAATTTATAAATAAATTATAGATTTTTTTGTTTTACGCGGATGTTCGGATTTTGTCATTCCGCAGGCTTTGATTTATCATAAATCACTTCGGCTTTACTCCTGGACTATTTTAGAAGATGAAGAATCACCGAATGATGATAAAGATCCTCAAATCAAGAGTCATACCGCAGACATTGGTACTCTGACAAATTTAATGGCCGAGGATGCTTACAACGTCATGAGCTTTTTCTGGATTGGACACTACACTTGGGCTATTCCACTTAAAGTAATCTATAAACATTTACGTTTTTCGTTCTGGGAATGATCTATTCTCGGGAGATAAACAAGCCTGATGATGATTACTTTCGATTTGATGAAGAAGAAATTTTCTTTCAGATAAGCACTATTATTTTTTTACTCTACACGAAACTTGGAGTCAGTGCTATTGTTGGTGCCATTTGTTGTATTTTAATTGTTACACCTATGCAATTAGTATTGGGTAAGCGAATGTCGCGGAATCTCAAAGTTGTTGCGGTAAGTAAATCGCGTCCTAGGAAGAATTTCTCTTGAATTTTCATCAATGCAATTAATTTATTCTACATAATTTTTTTCATTCATTTAATAAAATATACAGCGATCCGAGTAAAAAAAATTACAATCGGAATATTTTTTCTAAATTTTCTGGAAAACTTCTCAGAAAATTTTTCTTTCTAAAACAATTGTATTTTTTGGAAACGTTTTAAAAAATTTTTAAAAAAGTTGTTTCGGAAATTTTATTTTATGATTCTCTAGAAATTTTTGCAAAGATAATTTTTTTTTGTTTCATAAAAAAAAAATTCTGGAAAGTTGTCCAGAAATTTTTGGAAAATTTGAAAAAAATATTCCGATTACAATTTTTTTTTTTACCCAGGGAATATCGATGATATGATGAAAAAATATCGATATCGGATGTGTTCTTTGGGTTCTAGGAGAGAAGTGACTCGAGATTAAAATTATTGAACGAAATACTCCAAGGAATGAGACTAGTGAAGCTCCGCGCCTGGGAATTAATATTCGAGCGTCGAATTCAACATACAAGAGACGAAGAATTGTCATTACTGGACAAGGATTCTCTCTACTGGGGCCTGATAAGTGCGTGTATCAATAATTCATGTCACTTAAATCACCGCAAATTACAGATGAAAACAATACTTTATGGTACAGTCACTTAAACATTGACATTTACAGCATTCCTCACTCACGCATCGTCGGTTCTTACGACTCTATTCACGTTCGGCGTCTACTTCTGGGTGGAGGAGACTCATTTGGATGCTGGCAATGTTTTTGCAAGTCTTGCACTGTTCTCACAACTCACTGTACCACTATTCATATTTCCGGTTATTGTGCCGATTATTCTCAACGCCGGTGTAAGCCATCTACATTTGATTCCATTCATTTTTTATTTATCGCCTGAACCATTTGATTTTTCGAGTGAGGGCTCATTCGATACCCCAGAAAATTCACTTTCAGATCCTCATTAATATGCATTTATGCAATTATTTAATTATGCAATATTATGCAATATTGTGCAATATTATGCAATATTATGCAATATTATTCATTCATTTGTTGAGAGTGGTGGGTCAAATGGTCAAATGGTGTTTGAGAGTTAAAATTTTTCTAGCTATCGAATGGGATCGTTTTTTTTATACTGCCCTGTTGGACTTATGTTCACTAATTTCATCGTCTATTAATAGATCTCAACCAAGAGGCTGGAGGACTTTTTATCACTGCCAGAGACCGCCAACGTTCTCCCGGAAGTGGAAACTCGACGAACTAGCGACGAAGACGATGAGCAGACCAACTCTGTATCCATCAATGAGAGCTCTGTAATTTTTATCTCGACACTAATTCCATTTTACTCGATTGAAAATAGAATAATCGTGATGCTATCTATAAATGGAGGTCAATTATTCCGATGCATTCTATCCGACTATTGAAACCCTGTCATGGTTTATTTTCTTAGGTCTTATTTATCAATTATCAGTTGTTTTTAATTGTTATTCAGGGAGAGAGGAATATACAGAGTATTTCCACATTCGGAACTCTTGGAAATATCACGGAGGATGAGGAGGAACACGCGGGTCTTCATCTTCTCGGAAAATATGACACCAGCTCTTCTTGTGACACTGTCTTCGAGAAAGAGGCAGAACCGGTGAAGCCCGCGTTGTTATACATCAGTGGAGTATTCGCTCTTGGATCTGAAGAGATGAATCTAGTTGTTGATGAGCTACTGGTGCCTCGAGGTAATTATCGCCTAATTGCCGACTCCCCTCATCACCATTACGAATAAATCAATTCAATTTCGCTGATAATTTCTTTACTGTCGTATACACTCATTATCTAAGTCTCTTATCATCAGGAAAATTGACTCTCATCGTCGGAAAAACCGGGAGTGGTAAGACATCACTGATATCGGCGATGCTAGGGGAGAATCTGAAGTTGAGAGGGAAAATTGAATGGGCCAGGAACGTCAGGGTTGCTTATGTTCCTCAGCGACCTTGGCTTCTCAATGCAACTGTCAGAGAGAATATTATTTTCGGCTCTACTTACAACAAGAACAGGTACAAGAATGTCCTTCGCGCTTGCGCACTGCAACCGGATGTTGACATCTTGCCTGGTAAAGACATGACGCGAATCGGTGAGAAGGGAATTAATTTGAGTGGAGGGCAGAAGCAGAGGATTGCGATTGCGAGGGCCATTTATTCTGACGCTGACACTGTCATCTTTGATGACCCATTGTCAGCCCTGGATCAGCAGGTGAATATGATTTTACTGATCCTTCATTGAAAAAATTACGTGAAGAGACAATTTCCAATTTGAATACTCATTTTCGATGGTTTCATTAATTTCGTCAGGTAAGTCTGCAGATATTCGAACAGGGCATCCAGAAGCTCCTCCTCCGGAAGTCCCGGACAGTTATCATGGTAACCCACCGCCTAGACTTGATTCCCCTGGCGGACAACATCGTTGCCCTCGATAATTGTCGTCTCCGTTGCGTCGGCCCATTGTCATTAATCGAGGCAGCAGATCCTCAACTCATCCAAGAGTGGAAGGAGTCAGCGAAGAGACGTGGAGATGTCCTGTACAGAACCGCTAAGGATCGCTGGTCTCTTGTTCGTCTTGTCTCGAGGATAGGCTTCTCAGCGAAGCACAAACACACGAGCGATGGCACCTGGATGACAGAGCAAGACGCCCACGTGTCACCACCAATTTTTGTTCCACTCAGGCACAGGAAGTCGATGCTGTCTGAGTCGAGATACCTTGCCCATGATCTAACGGATCTTCCAGTGCCCGCTGAGGAGTGGGGAAGCATGAGAAAGCGGTCTAAGAGACACAGGAATGCTACCAGGGCGATTAGTCTGCAACCGCCGAAGCATCCACCCCCTGTCCTCAGGCAGAGCAGTACTCCAACGATTTTGGAGGGCCACTACATCGTACCCAGGAAGAGACATAATACGACTGGAGAGTGAGTAGTTTCTTCATCAATATTGTTTAATATTTTTTTAATGTTTTTCATTGGCAGTGAACAAGGCACCAGTATGTTAAGACAACTCTTCTCCGGGAGAATAATTCACCTGTCGGACGAGGGTAATCTCAACAGGGAGAAAAAAGTGTTGAAGAGACTGATGTCGTCGTCGTCAATCAAGAATCCGGAGAACGAGGGGAGGACGACCAGGAGAATCATCTCCACGGAGTCCAGGAGTGATGAGATTGAGACGAATGAGACGATTGATGAGGGTGAGGAGGGTCAGGATTACGGGGACAATGGTGGATTGGTGGACAAAGGGGTGTGGTTGGCGTATCTCAAGGCTGGAGGGTTGGGACCTTGTTTTATGTACCTGGGAGCTGCTTTGGGGTGTCAAGGGCTTAGGGTTTACACTGACCTGTGGCTCAGCGAGTGGACGAATCTGGGAACTGGAGTGATTGAAGGGACGAGTATCCACGAACAGGTGAGGCGTGTGGAATTCATCCGTGTGGATGAAAATTGGGCCTTATATAAATTAAGAAGCTCGCGTATCAAGAAAAAATAATAGAAGTTACGAAACCTTCTTGGAAGAACCGAGAGCGATATAAAATTTATTCATTCCTATCAGTTCTCACGATTTTTATTGTCGATCATTACGTTTTTCAGACAGTCTTCTATTTCCGGATGTACATTATTCTCTCGATTGGTTCGATCATACTTTCTGCATTAAATAGTGCAGCTGGCCAGTGGGCAAGCGCCACTGCTCGTAAAACTCTCCACCAGGAGGCGATAACTTCCCTCCTGAGGGCGCCGATGAATTTCTTCGAGCGAACACCCATTGGAAAAATCCTGAACAGGTTCAGCGCCGATATGGGTGTAATCGATAAGAAATTATCGACAGCTTTTCAGAGATTGACTTCGTTTATTCTACTCTGTGGATCAGCCATGATCGTTAATGCCGTTATCTCACCCTGGTTTCTCGTTGCGGCCGTGCCAACTTCAGTGGCTTATTTTTTTCTTCAGAAATTTTACAGAAATAGCGCGAGGGAGCTGCAGAGACTGGAGGGAAGGTACCATTTTTATACAATTTTTCCATTTGACTTTTCATTTCCATTTGTTTTTTCGAGAACACACGCATTTGATTATATCAAAACCAAAAGACGTCATTCTAATAATTATCTGTTATTTAATTAACCACTCGTGACAGATTGGGTGGAAATGCCTGTGGGCACAGTTTATTCCCATTATCCAGAAGTAAACAATATTTTCAATTTTTTTAATGAGTCTTCTGACGTATCGATTTTTTAATGTTTTTTCTGCAGCACCAGAGGACCTGTTGCCGCACATTTTTCTGAGACACTCGCAGGTTTGCCAGTTGTAAGGGCTTCCAAACAACAGGACAGGTTCATGGATGAAATGATCGAGTACCTCGACGCCAATACGAATGCATTTCTCATTTTGAATACGAGTACTCGATGGCTGGGTATCGCTCTGGTATATCAAAATTTTTCACATACACCTCTAAAAAAATGAAATCTGCTTTCTCAATTTGTTTTGATCTGTTGAATTATTATTTCAACGTGTTACCCTAACGGTTTCATGTACTCCAGCTGTTTTAGTATTTTGATCTATAGAGGATTTATTATTTTTCTCTTTCTGGTAATGTTCTTAGGATTATCTAGGAGCGGTTGTTGTGGTGGCCTCGATTTTTGCAGCCCTTCTCTCCGCGGAATTATATCCAGACAGGGTGACACCTGCGCTTGTTGGTCTTGCCATAAATTATACGTTTCTTGTACCGATTTATCTAAACTGGGTAGTTAAATTTGTCTCCGAGATCGAGATGTACATGGGAAGTGTCGCGAGATTAACCGAGTACACCAAGATCACACGGGAGAATTACAGAGAGAACGGTAATTTAAAATTATTGATTATTATTACTTGTTTAATAATACGACACGATAACTGATGAGATATTAATGCGCGTGAGGCGAGGGGATTTTTTTTGCACTTCCGCTCAAAATAAATTTCAGGTTTTTTTTTTATTTAAAAAAATAATTATTTGAAAGGGTATGAAGCCGAAGAAACGTGGCCGGAGAAGGGTGAGATCATCTTCGAGAATGTTTCCCTTCGTTATCATCCGCAGGCTGAGCCGGTGGTCAAAGACCTGGATCTCAGAATTCCTCCAGGGCAGAAGGTGAGTAATGAACAATTCAGCTGTCGGTTCAGGATAATTTGAAGATAATAAATAATTATAATAGTCTTCTGAGAAAATGAAGTGGTCATCGTACGCGGACGGCGTCATCTTGTTTAGATATTCATTCTGCCGCAAAGATGGCGACTCGCCCACCTCGCGACTTCAAGTCGTTATTAAAATTATTCATTTTTCTCAGATCACCGTCAACTCGTCGCATCCTTTTTATAAAAACTGAAGAATTTTTTTAAGCCATCCGGCAGCTATATCCATTTATTTTTCACTGAGATGTCATCCGACAAAATTATTCTCGAATTTCGGCCATTTTTTTTTACGATGTTTTATAGAAAGGGTAGGAAGACTGGATTTATTGAAAAATTTTCAGTTGGGAATCTGTGGAAGAACTGGCAGTGGAAAATCGACAACAGTGATGGCGTTGTTTCAACTCCTGGAAGTGTCTCAAGGTCGAATCCTGGTGGATGGTATAGATTTGCGACGAGTGTCGCTTCTGAGTTTGAGATCTAGACTATCAGCTATACCTCAGGACGTTATAATGTTCAGTGGTACCATCAGGTAAAAAATAAATACTGATTACAACCGATGACCTTCACGTAATTCATCCGACATCTCCAGGGAGAATTTGGATCCACTTGGCGAGCACAAGGACGACGAGTTGTGGTCAGCACTCCAAGTGGCCCAGATGAGGGACATCATTGCGTCACATCCCGAGGGATTGGACCTCGAAGTGAGGGAGGGTGGGGAGAATTTCTCAGCTGGGCAATTGCAGCTGTTGAGCATGGCCCGAGCTACTCTTCGTCAATCAGCTGTTGTTGTCCTCGATGAGGCTACGAGTGCCCTGGATGGAGCCACCGAAACAGCTTTGCTACGGGCCATGACCAGTGCCTTCAGGAAGAGGACTGTCATTACAATTGCAGTAATTAACATTTTTTTCCTTTCGTCCCAATGAAATATAAATCGATAATAGAATATAAAGTGATAAATTGAATTTATCTCATCTTTATTTCATTATTGAAATATTTCGTGACTTTCAGCACCGAGTGTCATCACTCCTCTCTTGCGACAGAATCGTAGTATTCGATGAGGGAAAAATCGTAGAGGAAGGTACACCAAAGGAATTATCATCGAAACCGCTGGGATCATTCGCAGCGATGCTGAGGGCCTCGGAAATGACCCAATCAACCAACGACTGATATTTTTGTATCTGAATTAATTATCAATAATTTTCTATTGTCATTTGTAAATAAGATTGAATAAAGCAATGTGAAATAACAGAAAAAAACTGTAAAAAATATAATTATGCAATTATCCAGGATAATCGTTAATTAATTTTTCAAGTTTCAAGAGACTTTTAACCACGTGGATGATGACTGTTTCACTTCGAGTGAAATCTGAACCTTGTTTCCATCATTCCAATATTCAATGTCCAATATTCGAAGAAAAATTAAATCAGTCCGACTGTTTTTCCGGCTCAATCCACTCCTCTCATTTTTCTCGGCAATCCGGACGTAACTCAGGCAATAACTGTTGACCCTGAGGTATTATTTATTACTTTGGGCAGTCTCTTTGATAATAAAAAAAACACAAAAATAATAAATGAAAATTATGTAATCATGATTTGAACTATTGCGGCGCGTCCTTCGGTCATATGGAATTGATTATCGAGGATAGAAACAATTGGAAAAAACGACGATGTAAATTTTTTATTGAAAATACTTTTGGATTATTTTTTTAACGATCCGTTATTTTTACTGGGCACTTCTCTTCGTGTAGGTGCGTCAATGAGAGGCGGGAGTTGACGTCAACAATTGAAAATTGACAATGCCGATTTTTTTCCGTTAATTTATGAATTCTTGTCTCACGTGGGAACGCCGAGAGACCGAGTGGATCACAAGTATGAGGTGTGAAACGATAATAATTGACAAAAAAGCGATGGCATCGGTGGTTTTAACCGCATGACCGAGCGATTTGTCGATTCATTTTTTCATCCATCGTACCAGTAGCTCTGAAACCTCGGCGGTGATAACACCTCGGCACTCCGCGTTCCAAAGAATTTATTTATTTATTCTCGTTTTTTACGAAACACATCATCGGCTATTCCAGTGCGAAATTATTTCCGGTCTTGATTCATTTTGTATTTTTGCAAGAGGTGACGGGTGTCTCAGTTCATTTCCGGTGAGTCTATGAGAATAATAAACACTCGGTGGCACTTTAATTCAACGAATCAACAAAAACCAAAAAATTGATTTTTTTTTAATTCGTCGAGTCAATCGCAATAAATCGTAACAAGTGATAAATTTACACTTTCGGTTGTCATCCCAAAGTGGAAAATTTCCAGTTCAAAAATTCCTTATTTTGAAAGTCTTAAATCGCTTAATCCTCAAAAAACATTTGGCAAAAAATGTGATAACGCAACAAATAATGGGATTCAACGGATTTTCCCGCACCCGCAATTTTTTTTTACTTTCCAAATTTCGATTTCTTTAAAAAATCTAAATGGAATAAAAAAAAATCGTGAACTACTCAAAGCGATTCCTCACGATTTTCGTTTGATGAAATTTGTACAGGTGTTCCCCCCTCCCTAGGAATCATTGAGTGATGTAACTCAGGTGCACTGATAGCTCCCGAAAAATGGAAATTTATAAAAATAGCAATGAAATATTTTTTCTTCCTTTTTCGAGTCGAAGGGTACATTTTTTTAACAATTTTTTTTTTGACGACCTTTAGATAAGACTTGCGCGCGCATAATATCGTTGACAATTGGCGCTTATCGTTGTAGAGAAACGATAAGATTCCGAGTCTTTTCTTGACTGACAAAAGAGCAACAGTTGAGTGGTGAATTAGTCTGCATCTTCATTAGTCCCGTGGTCGAGGGAGACCAGAGGAATTTAATTGGGTGAGTGGATTTTGGGGCTGAATTTTTTTTTGAAAAAATTTACCCATCACCGAAGAAAACATTGAGACATGCATTTTTACGAGGCAAAAACCATTTCGCGTCTCCATATTTTTTCCAATTTTTATGCAACGATAAAATCCGCAAAATTAATTCATATTTCACCAATTTATCTAGAATATTCAATTGACTGCGATACGAATTTATTTTGCAACCATGAATTCACGGCTGTCCCGATAATCGTTAATGCAAAATAATATACAATGTCATTAATTTAATTTTTTGGATCACATAAATTTTTTGGTGTACTCGCATTTTTTTTTGTCCGCAAAAAAAAATTTGATACCGCGAAAATTTGAAATTCTGGGAAAAGCTGTGAATTAATGAGATGCAGAAAAATGACTCAGGCATAGATTTTCACATTCCATCTAGGGAAAGCCCCGACAAACATTTGTTATTGACACATTCTTAATAGACACCCCGCACTCATTAATCCAGAGCTCGACTTATCACAATCCCAATCACAATCTCCAATAGGAAACGAAACATGGAATTCACTCGATTATTTCACGATAACAATCCATCAACTGCATTTTGTTTTTTCACTCCCTATCGCCTCAGCTGATAGTTATTTTTATTAAGTCCATCCATCAGATATTCCCCGAACAATAAATGAAAAAAAATTCCTCGTAAAAATGAAAAGCGAGGATAAAAAAATTTGTCGGCATTTTATCTGGCATTAAAAATGCGGAAATATTTTTCAGACTTTATTGTTTAAAAAATTTCACATTTCCTTGTTTTAGGAAACAAAAAAACTCTCAAATAGTGCATTTGTTGATTTTTCCGAGTGAACGCTTGATAACGACGGAAACGCTAATGACTCGTAATTACCGTCTTCCTTAGAAATCAATTGTTCTTCATATTACCGCTGTTCTGTGCCATTTAAAAGTGAAAATGAACTCATCGTTAATTTTTTTACGCAGTACCTAAGCACATTTAGCTGTTCAAATATTGTTATCAGAGTAACTCCAGGTGTCAGTACATAAATTCCCATAGAAACAATCTGAAACGCGTCACCGAAAATTCTAGCATTGAATCCTAAACCATCTCTTTATAATTTTGCAATTCAAAGTCGGCAAAACAAATATGTGAAAAAAAAAAACGTTAAAAAAAGAATTAAACGTTATCATCCAACGAGCAGTAAAATAAACGATAAAATTTTTCGTCTTTGCTCGATTATTTTTTATTCTATCAACAAGCCACTGAAAAATGACGCAAACTATTCGAATAATCTTGGAAAGAAAAAATATATCGACCAGAAGCAATCGCATAATCACTTCTCTTTTTTTTCCATCATAAACCGAGACGATGAGACACGTCAAAATAATAGTCACGTGCCATTTTATTGAGGGCAATTAAAAGTGTCTCGACATGAAGGGTTCCCTTGTTTAATTAAGATAAAAGTGTGTTATTGTAAACAAAACTTCCAGAATTATAAAAATATTGAATCATATGGAAAAAACAGCCGCCGACTCTCGTTATCACAGCATTGACCTCAAAATCGAATTCCAGGGCGAAAAAATATCCTCGAAGCTCCCAGAAATTGACAGTCAAAAATATTTTCCCCCTCCAACACTTGCCATTTTTTTTTCTCCATTTTACCCCACGATTTAAAAAAAAAAAATATGCGAAAAAACCGTTTTTCGGGAAAATTTTTTTGCGCAACAGCTGATGGCGTAAAGGAATTGACATGTAGTATTTGGAAAAAAAATTTCTTCAAAACAGTGACGAGAAAATTTTGGGATTGCTATCACCCCCTCCCGTCCTTGAGTCGTCGACACGTTTCAGGCAGACGGCGTCAGTTCATCCCAATACATTCGCTATTTTTTCCTCATCATCACGTGCTAATACCTCATGACGTCATTCATAATATTATGCATCAAACATTAGCACTGGAGCATGTGACAGTCCACGTGTTTGACTCATTCTACTGCGAATTAAAAATCGATTTTTTGGGGATTGATTTTTCGGGGATTCCCCTGCTTCTGAATTTCTCAATAATTTCGTAAATGAATGGACATTTGCAGATTAAAAAATTCAAATCATCATGATGATGACCTTCAGACAATTAAGATGAGATTTGCGTGCTTCCCGAGGGCTAGTATCCTGGGCCAGAGGGGGAGTATCAACCTCACCCCTCTCCCAGGGCACGAAGAAAATGGCAGCATCACAGGAATCAGCATCATCAGTGTAATTATTTCGAAAAAAAAAAACAAATTAATTGAAAATTGATAATTCTATTTTATAAAAATTCTTCAGAATGGGAACAACAGAGAACCGATCCCCATGAGCTACAAGCGCCACGGGGATGATGTCAATGGTACAGTAAGTGTCTGCGAAAATAACTGGCAATTCGTTCATAGACTATTGATAAATAAATAAATGATGATATAATTGGGCAGCTGAGCAACTGTTCAAGCACGGTGACTCTGAATGGCTCGACGACACTTCCGAAGGGTTACACCGTCTTCAGGAATGACAACGGAAATGGATTCGAGAGACAGGATACAGTCGTATCGAACTTGTCGATGGAAAGTGTCAAAATACCTAGGGGTGGAGTCATTGGTAGAACACCAACACTACCATCTGCACCGACTCCTGTTTATGATAAGGACATGAGGTGGGACTATTTACATTTATATTCTAGGTCGTAAGCAACGAGCTTTCAAACTGAAAAGACTCCGCACAATTAAACCCATTGAAGTTGATGAAGAGACGAAAAGATAAATTTGAATAAAAATTTTTGAAATAATCCGTTGGTAGATCGCGGGAGCTCATTAAGAGAGCCATTTTGGAGAACGAATTCCTGGGGAATCTGGAGGAGCCTCAGGTCGAGGCTCTGGTATCCGCGATGTACCCGAAGAATATTCCACCGAGTTATCTCGTGATTCATGAAGGTGATATCGGTAAGAATGACTTAGCCAAAAAAATTCAAATGAATTTCTCCAGGAAGTAGTATCTTTACACCGACTTACAGGATCACATCTGTACGTATCGGCGGAGGGGGAGTTCGACATCTACGAGGGGAGCAAATTTGCCAAAAGTTTTGGACCTGGAGTTGCATTTGGAGAGCTCGCATTGCTTTACAATACCAAAAGATTGCGTTCAATATCTTCGAAGAAAGGGGGAAAGGTGTGGGTCCTAGACAGATCTGTGTTTTTGACTGTGATGATGAGGAGTGCCCAAGATCGACTGGAGGGCAACATCAGGTTCCTCAGGAAGGTCTCCGTTCTCCAGAAGCTTCCTGAACCCAAGGAACACGTGTTCGCCAAGATATCAGATTTGATTAAAGTAGTGAGTGGATTATTTTTATCATCTGGAATGGTATGCAATTTATGATATGAAATTTATGGATACCACCCGCCAATTCATTTTTGTCTTAGGAATTTTTCCCTGCTGGTGCGAAAATTCTCCGACAAGGGGAAATTGGCGACAAATTCTTCATAATCAGTGGGGGAAACGTTCGGATAACCAAGGACACGGAATACGGGGGTGAAGAGGAGCTCGTGGTCCTCGGGAAGGGTCAGTACTTCGGTGAGAAAGCACTTTATGACAAAGCTGATAATCGAAGAAAAGCCAACGCGATAGCGTTAGCACCTGGTGTTGAGTGTCTCACTCTGGACGGAACGTAAGTCCAAATTTTGGGACTGATAATTCCAGTACCCTAAATTCCCAAAGATAGTTGAACTCATTTTTGAATTGATTTCCAATATCTCAGATAAGAGTACGACAAAAATGAAAGTATTTTTTTTTCATAATTAAAGTCACTCGAATTTCGTAAACGATGGGTTAACAAATATTCCAGCACATTCTTGAATTATCTCGGTGGTCTAGACGAGATAAGGAATACGGACTGGGCAGCGGAGGTTGAAAAACAAAAGCGCTCATTAACACCAAAAGTCTGGACAAATGAATACTCGGAAGTGACACTTTACGATTTAGAGAGTCGTGGAACGCTGGGAGTCGGTGGATTTGGTCGGGTTGAACTCGTCACCTTGAGATCTGATACTGAAAAGAGTTTCGCGTTGAAGAAGCTGAAGAAGAAGACGATGGTTGATCAGCAGCAGCAGGAGCACGTTCTCAATGAGAAGTGCATAATGCAGGCTTGCGATTCTGCTTTCATCTGCAAGTTAGTGATTTTTTTCTGCATCTCAATTGATGAAATTTATCAAAACCTTTTCCTCACACCTGAATTCCTTCAATTCTCCAAAATTAATTTTTTCACTGAAATGAAATTCAGGTGACGATTTCTTCGAGATATCGTAAAGTTATTTGATAATCTGTTTATCCCAGACTCTATCAAACCTTCAAAGACGCCAAATACGTTTACTTCCTCATGGAGGTTTGTCTTGGGGGTGACGTCTGGACGACTCTTCAGAAACGTCGGTACTTCGACGACGCCACTGCCCAATTCATGGTTGGATGCGTCGTGGAGGCACTGGACCACTTGCACTCCCTCAACATTGTCTACCGTGATCTCAAGCCTGAAAATCTAATGCTAGACAGTCGTGGATACCTGAAACTCGTGGACTTTGGTTTTAGCAAGAAGATCGGCCCTGACAAGACCTGGACATTCGCTGGAACTCCCGAATACGTCGCTCCAGAGATTATCCTCAATAAAGGACACGACAGGTTAATTTCAAAACAATTACCCTTATCCCGATGACAAAGTCTTCTGAATTTCCAATTTTATGAATTTTAATTCCATGTAATTAAGAAATCCTCATTTTCCATAAATTTCTCATTTAACTTGAATATTTTCACGCAAATCTGTCTATCAAGGTAGACATAAAATATTCATTGTTAATAATGGAAAATAACTGACGATGAATCATTCGGGGGGAAATCGGTAATTGGTAGTCATAATGACTCCGATAACTTGATAAAAAAATCCCATTAATCATTTGTTTTTCTTGGTCTTCAAGTTCTCATTAATTATTTTTCTGTATTAATAGAGCCGTTGATTATTGGGCATTGGGCATTCTCACACACGAATTATTGGTTGGAAAACCGCCATTTCGTGGGTCCGATCACATGACCACGTACAACAGAATCTTGAAGGGAGTAGAGATGGTGGGGATTCCCCCGATTGTCAACAAAAGTGCGAATAACCTGATTAAAAAATTACTGCGACTCAGTCCATCGGAGAGACTCGGATATCAGCGCAATGGAATTCAAGATATTCGGGATCACAAGTGGTTCAGTAATTTTAATTGGAAGGCATTGCAGAGGCTTGCACTACCCGCTCCAATTGTTCCTACAGTACGCTCGTTATATTTTGCAGATTATTTTTTTGTCTTCTCCATATTTTCCATTTGAATTTTCTTTTTGCAGATTCGAAGTACAACGGACGTCCGGAATTTTGAGCGATACCCCCCGGACAGGGAAATACCTCCGGACGAATTTTCCGGATGGGACATGGACTTCTGAGTCTCAATCAATAAATTTTTTTACTAATAACAATAAATCCTAGACCGATATTAATCGATTCCCTCTCTTCAGATAATTCCAAGAATAAAAAATATGTTATTCAGTGTTTGTCAATTCTCAGATCGAATAAATTATTTTGTAAATAAATCCAATCGTCAATTATTCTCCGATGATCTCACACGTCTTGCGGTCATAACTGAAAGATATCGATTGCAAAAATCGGTAATCGACTTTGAGGATTGCATTGCAATACTTGTCGTACTCGACAAATAATCGAGTGATTGCCGGTCTTCATTGGACGTTTATGATCTTAATAAAGATAATTGACGTATGACTTGGCACGAAAAAAAAAATAAGATATTTAATCTCTGCGATATCGGCGAGATAAGATCGATCTATTGTCGATTACCGGTCAGTCCAGTGAGACATTCCATAAAATCCAGAAGAATCTCAATGATTTTTTACGACTCGTCCAGTTGATCGATTATTTACAGTTAAATTGAACAGATTTCGTTGAGAAAATAACGATTTAGTGCGAGGTTTTTTAGATATCTTGTAAATATCATTTTAAAGAGGAGTGGTGATTATTCTCCGATGGGAATCAAAGGAAATTGAGGATGGGTCAGTGATGGAGGGCCCGGAAAGCTTCAGATGTTTCCCCTGGATGCGCCACTCCGGACAGAAACTAGTGGTTACTAATTTAAACGATAAAAATAGTAAAAGCAACAACAAGCGGAAGGCCGATCAGCCTGATCAGCCGATTTATCGAAGATTGAGTCAAGTGAGGAAGGATGCGATTTTTGGGGCTGCCCAAGTCATTAAAAATGAGGAATTCCCGATTTTTAAAAAGACTCTTGAGTGAGTGAAAATTATTATTTTTGGATTTTTTCGTCAGAAAAAATTGGGGAAATATTATTTTTAATTCAAGGGAGAAAAAACGGATAACAGAGGCTATACGGCGCAATGATTTTCTCTACAAGATGGAGGAGCACCAGGTGGACATGATCGTATCCAAGATGTACCCAAAAGTCTTCCAGAAGAGAGCTAGATTGATCAAGGAGGGAGATATCGGGCATCACCTGTATGTGTCTGAAACTGGGGACTTTGAGATATTCAAGGGGAGCGAGTTCCAGGGTAGCTTCGGCCCTGGAGTGGCCTTCGGGGAGTTGGCGTTATTATACAACGTAAAAAGAGCAGTTTCAGTCGATGGTAGGGTAAACCGTTGATTTATACAACAATTAAAGGTATTTAGAGTTCCTCACATAATTGATAACGAATTGAATTTTTTTATGCGGATGCATCTGACATCCGATTGTCAGTTAAACCTGGGGGTAAAGTGTGGGTGCTGGAACGCGGGGCGTTCGTCGCAGCGAGAATAAAAAATGCTCAGGAAATAATTGAGAGCAATATTGAGGCGCTCAGAAAAATTCCACTGCTCAAAGATCTGCCCCGACACGTTCTGTCAAAAATATCGGACCTGATGCACGTGGAGTTCTTCACCGTGGGCTCCTACATCCTCAAGCAGGGTCACGTCGGTGATAAATTCTACATAATAAATTGTGGAAGAGTGAGAATCACGAAAACTGGTGATAATGGACAGGAGACAACACTCGCAGTGCTGGAGGAAGGCGATTACTTTGGGGAAAAAGCACTCTATGAAGCTGGTGGAAATAGGAGACAAGCTAATGCCATTGCTGATGATCGAGGCGCTGAATGTCTAGCCATTGATCGAAGGTACAGGCTGAGGAATGTTCTGAATTTTTTTATTTAAAGAAAATGCAGTGGAAAATAGTAGCAAATGATAATTATTTAATTGCATTTTTTTTTCACTGGCATTTTTTTTTAATTTATGATTTATAGGACTTTCCTGAACTATCTAGGCGATCTGGACTCCATAAAGAAGAGAGACTGGGATTCAGAGTATGAAATTAGAAAACGATCCCTCAATGTTCAATGGATAAGCGATTATCCGGATGTTAAATTATCCGATCTCGAGATTAAAGCTGTTATTGGTGAGGGAAGCTTTGGTAGAGTTCATTTAGTCACGACTAAATCAATTCCAAATGTTAGTTTTGCGTTGAAGAGAATAAAGAAGTGTCTCGTTAAGAATCTGGATCACCAGAAATACATTCTGGATGAGAAGTACATAATGAAGGCCTGCAAATCACCTTTCATTTGTCGGTGAGAGCATCAACCATTTCTCGACAATTTATTTTTATTTTTAGGATATACCGGAAGTTTGCAGTGACTTAGAAAAATCAGAAAAATCTCTGTCCTGGAATTAAACGTCATCCATTCATGACTTTAAATAATTGAATTATCATTTTGATTCCTAGACTTCATCAGACTTATAAAGACCCGAAATACGTCTATTTCCTGATGGAGGCATGCCTGGGAGGCGACTTGAGAACTCTTTTGTACAGAAATTTCAAGTTTGATAACTCAGCAGCGAAATTCGTAATTGCCTGCACGGTTGAGGCTCTGGATCATCTCCATTCACGAGATATTGTTTATAGAGACTTGAAACCGGATAATATTCTGCTGGATTCACGTGGCTATGCTAAACTGGTAATTTTTTTACACTCGGTGTGTCGATGGTGTGGATATTGATAAAATGATTATTTTTTCAGACTGATTTTGGGACTAGCAAACGAATAGGGCCGTACAAGACCTGGTCATTCGTTGGAACTCCTGAATATATGCCCCCTGAAATTATTCTAGAAGAGGGACATGACAGGTGAGCAATATGAAGAAATGGGAGAGTCTTTACAAAAAATATTTGGGAGTTACCCTTGACGAAGAGCTCTTGGGGAGGAGCCACATCAGGATGAATGAAAAAGGAGAAGCCATCGTGACTAGGTTCCACTAACTATTTAAAAACAAATCCCTGTTGACTCGAGCTAAACTCAAATAGTACAAGGCATTAGTCAGTCCATCCATATCCCCAAATTCCAAGTCACTCTAAACAAATATCTCCGTCTTATTAATAATCCCCACAATGTCAGCCCCATCTCCTCCCTCCACATTACACCCAACACGCAAATCATACATGACTTTATAAATCGCATTGCTCACTATCTCCAAGTAAATCTTCAAAGTCATCCCAATTCATTAATAAATGACATCAAGTCTCGTTGAATTTCGAGATTATCAACTGGCGGTTGTTAACATGTCACTGCAGTTCTCAACATATGGGCTTTTTCACTCTTCGCTTTTCTCTACCATTGGCATGAATTTTATTTTTTCAATCCACCCCCGGTTATCTAAATAATGTGTCTACCATCGAAAGTCAGTGACTTTGTTGGACTGACTGAATCAGATTGAAAGATTGAATTTTTTTATTCTATCATTTTCAATCGATTCTTAGAGCTGCTGACTATTGGTCCCTGGGTATCACCATATTCGAGCTACTAACGGGTCGTCCGCCCTTCGATGACGACAACAAAGTGCGACTTTATCATAAAATAGTGGATGGAGTGGACTCTCTGCAAATGCCAGACCTCAAAACCAGTGCTCAGAGCATTATAAAGAAATTATTGCGTCCTAAACCGGTGGAACGGCTGGGTTACCTCAAGGCGGGCATTAGTGACATCCGAAACCACCCGTGAGTACAAAAAAAAAAGGATCACCCCGGGTCATTAAATCCCCGCAACTTCGGAAATCCAGGAAAAAAATAATAGCAATAATTTACTTTTTTTGGGCATAAACGTTTTTTTTTCTCGTGAGTATCCTCTCAAACTCTGAAAAAAAAAACGTCTGCCTGATATCGCCTATATCTCAGGGAGGAATATATATCTTTTGACTTTTACAGGAAAAAAAAATCAATCGCATTTTTCCTTGGAATAATTATTGCCTTCTGAGAATCAAAACAAATGGAGAATTGTTATTTCATTGCGTATCGTGTAGCCAAAAAATTATATTCATTAAAAAATATATAAAATAATGTCATTAACCATTTGTTTATATCTCCTGATCGTCCATGGGCAATGGAAAAATGTGAATGGATAAATAAACCGGGAACTTTCTACGTGTGAAAAAAAATCGAGTCGAATTGATGATTTTCGAATTTTTTCACTGTTCAAAGTCCAATGAAAATTCACAACGATAAATCCACCATTTGGAATATTTTACAACCGTTAAAGTTTATAATAACCTAAAAACAATTCCAGTTGGTTCTCCCTATTCGACTGGAAAGCTCTCCGCAATCAAACCCTGCGATCTCCGATAATTCTCAAGGTACACACGATGTTTTGAAGATAAATAAAAAATATCACTCACCGGTGTGAAAATTCCAGGTGAACAATCCTCTGGACACTAGACACTTCGACAAATATCCCCTGGAGCGAGAGGTAGCCGCCAACGATTTCTCAGGATGGGACGCCGATTTCTGAGTTCCAAAATTCATCATAAAAACAATTAAACAATTCACGATTCACACCAAACCCAAAAGATTACACAAATAAACATAACAGACATCACGTTGGCGCCATTAATCATCCGAACAAAGAGCATTTCCAATTTTTAAACACTGAATTAATTATAAAACACATTATCCGGGTTAAGTCACCTAAATAATAATCTAGGATTGATTACGCAGTCTGAAATAATAATTTTTACACTCCCGCTAATTTGATAGTCGACGACCGTTACACAGTCATTTGAAAAATATCAAGATGGCGCGGATGCGCTTGCCCCGCCCTCTTTCGCTACGAGAGGACACCATTGGTCGACCCACGTGTCTGAGGTGCGCACGCGCACTCACCTCTCGTGCGTCTAGTCCATCAGCTGGTGTCCCTCGGACAATCCCCCAGTTAGTCGTGTTATCATCACAATAAACTCAACTAAACTCGTGTTACCACTGAGGTTTATTCATTATTACAATCCCCTCGACTCCCTCGAGCCCCGGAAAATTCAGTTCAATGTGATTTTTGGTGCAGCCATGAGACATTATCCGTCGCGCAATAGAAAATTCAGTCTGAGACCAGCCAGACTGACGCCAATGGTGTCCAGACAACACCAATTACCATCTATTTAACGTTTTATATATTTTTATTATCATTGGTGCAGTGATAATACATCGATTAAAATATTTCGGTGGTGTCTGGAGTTTTTGGTGGTATAATCAGTGTCTGTGCTGTCATTTCCAGTGAGTGATCATATGTTTTTGTCGCAACATCTTTTTTCAACGCATCGACAACGAAGGAATTTATTTCTCATTCTCACTCGACATTCTACTCTGGTCTCGATAAAGTGAAAGGTAAGTCTTTCCATCGGTTATTTCCTCATTTTTTTTTTCTTTTTTTTAATCATACTGGGGCACAGGGCAACTGAGGGGAGGGACAGGTTAATTAATTTGTTTTTGTCGTCTTCTAGAGAGATTCATCATATTTTATTTCTGCCTTTCATCTTCTCGGTCCTCTCGTCATCTTTATATTGACGAGTTCGAGATATTTATCGAGAGTTTGTTGTTTCTTTTGAATGGGAACTGTTGTTTTGGTTTGAGGAAAAGATTGATCGAATGGCGATTTTATTCACGTCTCTGTATTATCCACTGTCTTTCCATTTTTGTTTTCAGTTTTTTTTCTATTTGTTTTTGTTATTGCGAATTAATTTTTCATAGTAATTTTTGTAAAAATTTTCACTGGGGATTTCAGTCTTTTTTTTTACCAACAACTGAATTTTTTTTTTATATATATAAAAACAAATGTTTCAGTTTTTTTTATTTTTTCTATTTTTGCATTTTTATACGTGTGTTCCGATAATACGAAAAATAATTTCTCACATTTGTTATCGAATTTTGATTTTTCAGTGAAAATGGGTCGGGAAAATTTCGTCGACTCTCGGCCTCGGGTTTAAACTTTTTGTTTATTCAGTGGGTGGGAAAATATTGATAAGACGACTTATCGGTTCACTTTCTGGCGTTAGTTTTGGAAAATTTTCCATCGGGGGTCATTCACCCACAACAAACATGGTAGACGGCTGCATGAAAAAAAAATAATTGCTCGTGAAATCATCAGAAATTTTATTAATTCGCTGGACGAAAATTGAGGGATTTTTATTTGGTTTCGTGATGCTAGAGTACAAAGTTCACGGTGTGTTTATCTGGTGATTAAAACATGTGGGAAAAAATTGACTTTGAACGGAGGGAATTCTGTTTTTTCGTCGATCAATGAATACCGAGGCTAATGCACAAACAAACTTGACTATTATTTCAATATTTTCCTCTAGAATTCAACTCTTTCCGCTTTTCTCCCTGGAAATGACCCCTGGAAGGCAGCGTAAAAAAAATTGTTTATTAACCCAATGATCTCGCCTCACAAAGAGAAAAACAATCTTCATTAATTTTATTTTCATAATCTCCATCATAAATTGCCCATTTTTTAAATAAGTCAATAATTATTTTTTAAAATAAATGTGATTGTTACCTGGGAAAATTGAAATTCTATAATAATCATAATTTTTTCGATTATTAATTAATCATGGATGATAATTTATGAATATTAACCACAAATATTCAATAAAAAAAAATATTTGTTGTTATTTTGACAGTGGATATGCAGGCGGAGCTAATGTGTCGAAAACCACTTGTGATGACAGGAAGAAATATGTCAGAGCACCAGAATTATCACAGGGGTAAAAATGAATCTCGAGATTCACGGGAAACGATTCACTCTGGTCACTTCATGGTCTCGGATTTTGAGGCCGAGGCGCAGGACGACGAAGACGAGCTTGCGGTACCTGTACCCGAGGAAGAAGCTGCTAAACTCGCGATTGTCGCACCCGCTGGATTTTCTCTGGAGAGATTTGTTAATATATCGAATGCTGAGAAGAGCTCGCAGCAGCTCAGCATCGAGACGTCATTGAACAAATTATTTCAATGCATGTCACTCGCGTACAGGTGAGTTCGAGTCATCGGAATTTTTCCAGTTCGAGTATAGTGTGAATAATTACAGGCAAATATTCCTCGAGTTGTCATAAAATTTTTCCTTGGTACATGTTCCACGAAAGTGTGACTTTCACAGGAAAAACATTATTATTCGTCATTACCCAATGCAACGAATTTTCAATGGCGAAATCATGAAAAATTTCCGTGTAATTTTACGCTTGAAATTTTCAAAATTTAAATGTTGAAATTGAAAGGATTTTTTTTTCCATGAAAAGTTTGAAGATTTTCTTTTGTTGAATTACAGGAAAAAAACCGGTTCTTACAGAATGATTCTGATACTAGTCAGTCAGGTACTCGTGTTCCGAAAACATGAATATTCCGAGGTTATTTGAATCCGTTTGAATCGTATTCCCACGACTAGGTCTCGCCAGTTCTTCACAAGGTCCTGAGAAACCTGAAAATCAAATAAAAAAATATATATCAGTATATACCCGGGAATTCTGGTGGTCGGGGAATCCCTGGAGGACCTCGTGCAACAGAAAAATCCAACGGAAGTTGCGTAGACGATTGACGCGCAGGGAAGGATTCGGCAAATGCACGTGCGCTATTTTTTAAAAATACGTGGCGGTCAGACACTTTCCCCCATTATGGTATTTTATCACACGTTATCTTATCCAAGGTCATCACGACGTCACCCCAGATTTGAAAGGCCCAAAAAATTCACTTTTCCAGGTGTTCTCCCGACCGAAATTAAAATAAGAAAATCACATTGTACGATTTAATCTTCATCACATAAAATATTGAATAAAATGGAAATGTCAATATTGTAAAATTCTATTTCATCAATTGCGAAGTGTAATTAGTTTTACAACTCGACTTTTATCACGGGACAAATAGCAATTGCTATCAGATAAGAATAGCGCGAGGATAATTTTTTTCTATGGCGTTTTTAGTCTATTGCATGAACCGGAGGTGTGTCCTCACGATTCGTTATTCTTTGGAGAATTAATTATAGATCTGTGACGGAGGATCAACAAGTTGGAACGGCCTCTAAAGACGTGGATATGGGTGGGGAATTATTTTTAGACTTATTTCTCCGACATTGAAATATTTTCTAAAGATAGGAGCAATTCCATTGGTTTGTGGAAAGGCATTGGTGAAAATTTATTTACATCATTTCATGATTTTTCTGATGCGCATGATCTTCCTCTAAACTTTAACTTTATTGTCATTTCGAGAGAAAACCCGCGGGGACTCATTTTTTTTTTCGAGGCTGACCCCGATTATTATAATTATTTTTTAAAAATCATTTTGTACAGGCTCATGACATTTTTACCGCAAGGCCGGATGTTATTATAAAATTTTCTCCGCACAGGGAAAAATTGGAAATAAATTTCAAATCGTTTGATGCTCTATTCGTTTTTTTTTCATTGCCAATTAATTTACGTTCCTCACTTTCCTCTTCCTCATTATTAACTTTCAATTTAATTTTTAATTTTTTTAATTTTTAAATTCCGGCGATTCCTCAACTCGAGTTTTCGAGATCGGGGAAGCCGATAATGTGGGGGATTGTAAATAATGTCATTAGATAGCCGAGAAAATTTCCGCTGGAAAAGTCACAGTAAAAAACCTTTTATCTCCTCAAGTTTGCGAGATAACGAGGAAAATGGTTTTTCACATTGAAAAATTATTTCTCGTTGTAAATAATAAATTACTGCTGTTAAATAAATTCTGTTGATGTTTCAGTGGAAATTTTCTTGGCTTTTCAACGAGACTCTTCTCAATCCTCTAGGTATTCAGGCTCTCGAGATATCCACGAGTGATCAAGTTTCAATGAAATTTCTTTATGGTATTCATTATCGACTCGCGTATTTTTTTCACGATTAAATTATTATTGACATTGGAATCGCCGAGATAATAATTGACTCACAATTCATCATCACGCAGTGTCACACCCCTCAGCTTTGCATAAATGATCATAACTATGTTGATTAAACCACTGAATAATTGAAGATAATTCATGAACCCTTGCTTTGATAATCCGCATTTAAAATGAGTTTTACAGATTTACTTGATCTAGTTTTACTTGAACTAGAATATTCCACACATCCAAAACCATGAAAATCTTATTCTATCTCATTCTCTCGTTATTTTAATCTTCTATTCTGTCTACAATGTTGGAGGCTCGTCCTCTTCGTTCCCATTCAAATACATCTGACTGTTTCGTTACCCCTGATGATCTCACATTTTACATAACTATTTCCATCAAAATAACTCAAACTGTTCTCACTCTAAACTACTTACGAGCGTATCTCAATATAACGACTCGGATTATCTCTTTAATCTTTATACGATTGTCACTAAAAGAGGGGGAGAGGGTATTAGAAATCTTCCAGATCATGAGATAACGGAAATGACACGACGAATATCTCACATTGTGAAATGACAATTTCGAGAATTAAAAATCGAAAAGAAAAATACACGAAATGTAAATTCGAAATTTTTATGGGTAATTTCTCAGTTGATTATTATCTATTTTATTTATAACAACTGGAGAACGGCAGTGGCACGGGAGAGACTCTGGTTTTGCGATTATTTTTTATAGGTAGGGTGAAATAATGAATTTCACTCAATCAATCGATAAATCCATTTGTTCCAGACAGAAGCTGACGTCTCCTAAGTGGAATCGATTCAAAGGCATCAGACTGCGATGGAAGGACAAGATCAGGCTGAACAACGTCATCTGGAGATGTTGGCACATGCAGTGTAAGTTATATCACCGATAAAACCATTCCTAGAAAATAATTCTGCATGATCCCCGTAATATTTATCGTTGAAAGAAAATAGCAGCCAAGCGAAAGACGAAATATTTTCTTCGCCAGAAAATTATACCAGTTGGAAATTTATCCACCTGTTGAATATTTCATTTTATTTTTCACTCCCTTGGAGATATCTGCGGAAGGGTGGAGACTTGGGAAAATTTATCGATGATTTTTCAAGTAGTTCTGAACTAATTAATGGTCCCTCCGGCCTAGGAGATAAGACACGAGTTTAGCTCCGATAATTCAATGATAAGGATTCGCAAACACGAGAAACTTGCACGTTGTGAGAACGTGAATATTTTTAATTCCCACTTGAGAGGGGAAAAAATGATGGAAATGGGAATTGCTGTTGTTTAGTCGGGGATCGACCTGAGAGCAGTCGTCAGTGATTGTGTTGATAATTTTTTCTATTTTCTTTATTCGAGAATAATTGTAATTGAACAATAATTTGTTTTCGCGAATTTTCGTTTCGTTACATTTTTCATCTTTGTTTATTTAAAAAAAAAAATTTTCTGCGGCGTAATCGTTTGTAATTGTGGAAAAGGCATTGATCAATTGTCGAGTTGATTAATTGTGGGAATTTACGTCGAATCGTCGGGGAAGCGACAAAACGTTGACGATTATCGTTAGATCTTGCCGCTCGAGTGACAGAATTGATTTTTAGGATTAGAAAAATATCTCCATTTCGATTAAAAATGCGACGTCACAAAGTGGGGATTGGAACGGGGATTTTCGGAGGTGTTGAGAGTGATTGTGATAAAGCCGAGGGATTTTACATTCTGGTAATTGCTTTTTTTTTTCATCCAAACGAGACATGAGGTGTTCCCCCAAATTTTTTCAAATATTTATTCATTATCAATTATCGTTGTTGGTCTTTATGTTTTAAAACTCGAGAGGTACATCCCAAAAAAATTGTTTATTTTTTGTAATTGTAGTTATCCTGAAGCAAAATACCCTGGTGTGTCAATTTGCTTCTCCCCTGGACGTAGACACTCACAACAAGCCAGAAGTAAGTACTCGAGTTATTCCACTGTTCTTGATTAAAACCGAAGCCATGAAAATAATATATTTAGTCCCCGGGAAATTCATCTGGCTTCTCTCCAACAACCCCCGGACCTCAAACGTCACCGCACGTGAACTTTCCCCTCGATTAATCTCCAACAATTCCATTTCTCCAGAAAAATTCGAGTCTAATTAACGCAATGACCAATTAATTTCCCATTCAACATAATCACGTAATTTTTCAATTATCAATTTTTATCGATCACCCTAGGCAGTGGTGTTAGAGGGTAAATACTGGAAACGAAAATTAGCGGCGGTTACAGCGGAGTACAAAAAATGGCGTATGTTTTATCGGAACAAGATTCTTGGTTGGACCAACAAGGATGGAACAGATATGGTAAAATGAGTTTAATGAGCGAATATGGTCATTCATTCGTCAGCGATTTTGGTTTAATTATTTGATGCATGCAGTTGGAATCGATGGACATGCTGGACTGGAGCAGTGGTATGGGATCATCCGGGGGCTTTTCGTCAGGACTTATGAATTCCCACGGGAATCTCAGTGGTCTACAGGGCCCTGATAGTATGATGGTTGATGAGGATTATATGGAACTCATGACTGACACGTTATTCTCAACAATAAGCTCAAATCAACCCATTTATTTTCCCGATCCCCGAGAAATCGGTAATTTCAAATTATGACGATTATAATTATTTTTTAATTCATTGTTCAAGTCATGATATTTAATTGGTGAAATGAACCCGATATATTTGATCCACCCTGTTGAATTGAATTTTAAAAAATAATCTATAGCTCGTGGAGCGAGTCTCGCCGATTTTATCCAGCCGTCGCTGGGTCCTCTACAACCGAATCTTGACGACTTCATGGACACCCTGGAGCCGCTCCAGGAGTTTCTCATCTCAAAGCTGCCCCCAGTCCCTGAGGAGGACGATCTTTTTCGATCGACAAGCCTTAATCCCACCTACTCAGACCTCGACCTGATGTCCTCGATGAATCTTCAGGCATCTCAGCCTCAGAGCACCACTCAAATGTCTCAGGTACCTTCCACCATTCCCCAGCCCCCGACACCATCCGCACCCCTCCAATCCCTCCAGTACTCACCGAAATACATCCCAGCCCCACCCCAATCGACGCAAATCTACAGACCACCATCCACACCATCCGAGACCTATCAAAATCAGCGGGAAAAATCTCAGAGACCTGGACGTTCACCGTCAAGGTCGAATAGGATTATTCAACATCAGTCAGCCTCGGCTTTCCCCTCGTACCAGACGAGTTACAATCAAATGGACATGGGAGCCATCCAGGCGAATCAGAATAATCCACAGATTACATTGAATACTCTCGACAGTAGTTTTAATACTAGGGGAATTAAGGCCATTTCCACAACAACTTCGGGGATGGGTGATTGCTTCAAGGGCATTTCATCCCAGGGATTCGAGATGGAACAGAGTCCACAGGGAAATCAGCCTTTTAAATTCCGGGGTAATAACATGAAGAATATTGGGCAGAATATCCCACAGCAAGTCACCGTGACAGTCTCTTCAGCTTCTCCAGTGCCATCGCACATTCTTCTGCAGTGCAAGCCATCAGGTCTGGATTTAACTGCACCAGCTCTTCATCCAACCAAACTTCTCCCCAAGGGCACTGAAAAGGAGGAAATATTCGCTGTGCCGAAGTACCAGATGAAGGTGAAGAGCCGGAGCAGAAGTTCCAGTGCTCTTGGCTGCCAGAGAAATCATCCACCACCACTGGTGTCCGCTGTCTCCGATCCTGCCATTAATGTCAGTAATAATGTTTTATTAGCACAACTGTTGACGAATAATTCGAGTGGATTGTACACTGTCAGCACTGGTCCTGATAAAATAACGGGATTGGGAGGGAGTCAGAGTACTGGAGGCAAGGGGATGATGCAGATGGTTCAAGGAGGCAGCACTGGCGGTCAACTGGGTAGTCCGGGTAGAGGACAATTAAATAGTCCAGGTGGTGTTCAGAGTCAGGGTAGTCCCGGTGGTATGTTGATGTCGAGTAGTCAGTCACAGGGTAGTCCGGGTTCACCGAAAGATAGTGGAGTTCAGAGTCCCCAGACATTGAGTATAAGTCCACTTCACAGTCCGATGTGTCTGGGGTGTCCATTGTCACCAGGATCTAGGATTTATGTCAAGGGTGAACGGGAAGGTGGGGGCTACAAGGAGCAGAGACGGGTGGGGCACATTCATGCCGAGCAGAAGAGGAGGTACAACATAAAGAATGGCTTTGATATGCTACACAGTCTCATACCTCAGTTGAGTCAGAATCCTAATACTAAATTGAGTAAGGCTGCGATGCTGCAAAAGGGAGCCGATTATATTCGACAGCTCCGAGCTGAACGAAATCAGATCAAGGAGGAAATGGAGAATTTGCGTCATCAGATCGAGTGCCTTAATACTTCTATAAGGTATGTCATTATAATCGACAGATTCGCCCCAGAATATTTGATTTATTTTATTCAGTGAGGATTGAGGGCACGCTATAATATTTATAAATTATCTGTAATTATTTATGGAAGCGCTAATTTTCTTTAGCAACTGTCAGTCAATGCTACCTGCGACTGGTGCCCCAGTATCTCGACAACGCACTAATAAGATGAAGGAGATGTTCGACGAGTATGTGAGGAAGAGGACACGGGAGAACTGGAAATTCTGGATTTTCAGTATTTTATTGGAGCCCCTGATGATATCGTTCAATACCTCCGTCTCCACGGCCAGTGTCGAGGACCTCTGCAGGAGCACAATACTCTGGGTTGAGCAGCATTGCTCTCTGGTTGATCTTAGGCCAGGTGAGCCATTGTTGTGAATTTATTCATTTCATCCGATCGATTTGCCAGTTGCAATGGAATTTTTTTACAGCTGTGTTGAATTCACTGAGGTATCTGTGCACTGCGACAGATATTTTATCAGACCCTGGACGCCTTCCTGAAGAAGCTCTGGCTGCTATCAATCACACTGAGAGACGTAAATCGATGCAGTGACACCACCAAAATTATCTCGATAGAACAAGCACAAAGATAATACAAGCTCTTTCAATACCTAAAGTGCAATTTTTGTCTCATGTCATTTTAATATTGTTTAGACTAATTGCTAATTACTCTCGGTTTTTCTGCAAATTCGAGGTTTTTTTTTTTCATGGGTACAGATGGAGTTGAGAAGAAATGTGGAATTTCACAACAGAAATACGGAAAATTCTCATGTTTATTTTTGATCGACAACAGATTTCCACGATTTTTATTAAAAACTCTAGCATAATTATAAACAATCATAACGCCATCAAATCCTTAAAAAAAGAAAGCTAAAAATATTTTTATACGAATTTGGCACCACTAGAACCATAAAAAATGCCAATGAACTCTAGTGTATAAAAACTCATTTTTGTTGAAAAAAAATTGTTGACCTTTTCCCAGAATTTACACATTAGTATCAAGAATGTAAAAAGAATAAATAAAGTTACTTATATTTGTTATAAAATATAATAAAAAAAGAACAACGATAACCATTAATTATTTATTTTCAAGAGAAAGCACCCAAAAGTTTTTTTCCAATTTTTCTCCCAATAAAACAAAGAAAAAAATTGGAGAAAACGGGAAAAAATGTACAAAAAAGTTTCTATATTATTATTATGCAGTTTGAATAACAGTTAATTAGCGTCATTATAAAAAATATAATTTAAATACTAGCAATACATTACATTATCTTTTTCGTCCAATTTTTTTTTCCAAAAAACACCTCAAATCAGTTGAAACAATTGAGCGATTTCAACAATTATATTCCATCATTAGAAATGATGACTTTACATGGATACCATTGCACAGCCTAGCATCAGTAAATACTAGAATAATTTTAATATTATCTATTCCAAAGTCTATTGCCCAAAAAGTACTCTATTACTAACAAAATTGTTGTTGACTTGTCAAGAAATCACTTTTTCGATTATATCTGAATACCCACAACTGACAAAAAACTGAATTGATAAATTTTAAACTTGACTCGGAATTTTGCTGCTAAAAATGGCGAGAACAACGCGAATTCGAGACGAGAAAAAAAGAGAGTGAGAAAAAAAAACATCACACTGAAGATTCATTAAGAAATTAATTCATCAGTCGGTTGTTAATTAATTGCTGCACTACAGTGCATTATTTTAGCTATCTATCAGTGTCCTCTGGTCTGATGAGAGAAGTTCCAACTGCAGTTGTGTCTGAAACAATATGATAAATTAAACAATTGATTAATTAATTATTTTTTATGGAGGTGTCATTCATTCCTCTGCAAAACTCCACAACCAGAATTTATAATTTTGATCAACTGACTAATTTCATCAATCAAATTCTAACGAAAAAAAAAAAAATATATATAAAACCCAAAATTTCAATTTCTAATCAATCAGATTGATGAATCAATTGATAACTATCCTTTAAAAAATGTGTTTCCATAGAGAAACGGGAGATTTTTAATCCTACATTCTCTCTGGAGAGAAAATATTAAAAAAATTACAATAATTGAAAACAAGGAATTGAAATAAAAAGTCAAATAATTGTTTCGATGAATTTATTTATCCGTGAATGATTTCAAGTTTGGGGAATAATTTCACTCATGCAAAATATCGTAGGATCTATTGAAAAATCTATATCTATAAACGACTCCAAGCAACTACAAAAATCCAACTACACGTCTTAATTCAATGATTAATAAATGGTAATCAATTATTCAGTAATTTATACAGCGTAATTATAAGCGTATGCAAAGCCAAGGGGGTGAAGCCTGGCAAAGATGAATAATGGATCAGTGATTATCTCGGAGATTCCAGTGTCAATGAAAATTGAATCATGCCAAAAAAAAAAACTCGAGCTGATAATTAAATTCACAGAGAAATTTTTTTTCCCGCAAAAATTTTCCCAAAATCGTAAAATCAAAAATCGTGTGTATTAATCACCAGAATCTCCAAGCAATTAAAAAACCAAATTGAAAATGAATAATGAGGAAGGAGAAACTGAGGAAAATAAATTAATTGTAAATGAAAAAAATACCATAAATACAGCATCAGACAATACTATTGTTGTGAGGCCCGCACTCTTGACATTATTTTTTCTATAAATGCGTTGACTCAGCCTGCCCAATATTCTTAGTTTCTAGACATTTTTGATTTGCTGGAATAAAATACCATTTTTTTTGGTGGTTTTTAAAATCAGGAAAGACGAGTCCTCACATGCAGTCCGCCGTTTCCCCCCTCCAATAACAATCAATTAACATAAATAAACATTAGATTATATTTTATCACTGCTGATGATCCGGATTTAATTGTGCATTGTGCGTCGCGTTGCTGTGCCAGTGAATACAATTAATATTTATTGCACGAGCATAATTAGCATTAGCCCAGACAAGAATGAATAAATTTCCAAATATGAAAAAAAAAAAGTGATGATCAGTCGTAGCGACTACAATGAGCATTGAATAATGATCCAAAAACAATCAAACCGTCGATGAAAAATAGTGACAGAAATATTATACCCCTGCAAAAATTGTAATAACTCCCACAAATAACGATAAATAATTGAAAAAGTTACCACATAGTCTTGAGAACTTGACAACAGACTCAACAAGTAACATCAGTCTTCCAATTTCTGTGGCACTAGCTCCAAACTTGATAAGAACTCATGCACTGTGCAAAACATTCGTGTTGATTAAATAACAAATTGTCACCAGATAAATCCTCTTTAAATTCGTAAATCTGCATTTTCTCTACAGTTAGATATTTCATGTGTATTAAAGAAATTTTTTTTCATTCACTGTCCGCACACTTTGCAACGTAAAAAGCAATTTTACTGCGTGTTTTACCCAACGAGGTTAATTACAAATATTGATAACAGGATTATTACAATTCAGCAGTGAAGTGGATTATTTATTTGTCAATATAATAAAAAATACGCAATTCACCAGGCATTATGGTGGGTGTAAATAATTTGACAGTCAATGACAATATAGAATTGAAATTAATTGTCAAATGGTGGCAATGATAAACTGCGTAGTTTTCATTATTTTTCTGTCAACTTGCCAGACCTCTTGGAATCAATATCTCGATCTGACCCCTTTCCACAATTTTTTCTCTTTTCTATCATTACTTGAATTACTGTTATTTTACATTACACAAAAATATGTTCGATAGACAATACATTTGGTCCTCGTTTAAACAATTACAAATCCTCCATTCGAAGGAAAAAGTGGATATTCTGAATCGTGAATGACGAGATTGTAGCCACTTTTAAGGAGTCAATGATTTCCACTTCACTGGAGAATATTCAAATAGATTCAATAGTTTTGTCTACTCACCAGCAATCGTGAGATCGACCAACGCCTTGTCCTTCTGTATATGAAGAGCCGTGAGAAAAAAAAAGAGGGCCCCGAGTACCTCGACGAAAATAGTCAAGAATAACGAATATTGAAGGCATTTGAAGTCGACGTAATCATTACTTGGCTCTCCCGGTGTGAGAAAATACGGCCTCAGACCTTCCGACATAACTCCAATGATATAAGGACTCCCAGCATCACCGAGGGCATGTGCCACGAGAATCTGGAATGCCTCAGCAGTGGATCTCCTCGTGGGAATGACAACGTACAGGAGCATATCAGCGACAATTGACCAATTGAGGTTCAAGGCTAGTTGCCCCAGGAAGATGACCGTAAAACAGACAATGGAATTCCCACTGGAAGTAATAATCGCGAGGAAGATCATGGGTGCACTGATAAGCAAGCCAATCCCACAGATAAGAGGATCAGCCTGGTGCCACCTGGCCCTCATCCTCTGGGCCATGATGGAGCCCAAGGGAACCCCAATGAGTCCTGCGAGCATTGCAATGCCCCCGAACACAAATGACACGTCATTTACTACTAATGACTTTTCCTTTTGGAGTTTAAGACCCAATTCGAGGAATTTTGGGGCCCAGAGGGCAAGAGCACCGGCAACAAACGCCACGCAGGTGAATCCAGCAGTTGATAGCATAAAACTTGGATTCTTGACTAGGGCACGAATGTCGTTACTCCACGTGGTACTTGCGATGTGAGAACCTCCCTCTTTCTCACCACGAACTGGATCCCTAACGAATACGAGGATGAGGGCAATGGCGATTATTCCAAGGGCCGGTGTAATCCTCAGGCCCCACTGCCACTGGCCTGTGGCAGCAGCTACTTTTCCACCGGTTATGTAACCGAGTCCACTACCAACTGGGATGGCAAAGTAAAACAGTGCCAACATCTTGGATCGAGTGTCTTTTACGAATAAATCACTTATTATCGTTGGGGCTATCGTCGAGTAACTCGCCTCACCTATGCCCACGCACATCCGAAAGATTAGGAACCACTCGTACGTCTGCAACAGTAAGACGTAATGACTCATTTATTTTTTATTGCTCCTAGTTGCGCTAGTTTACATGTCATTGCATTTAATCAGTTTAACGCTGACACAAAAATTCAATATTTTATATTTTTAATTTGACATTGCAATTATTAATTTTCTCATTTTTCAGAAAATTCAATTCATAAATTAGAAAAAATTGTAATATCAATATAAATTTGGATTTAAAATGTTGATTTGGAATTGTCCAACGTAATTTCCATTTATTATCTCCGAATCACAAAAGAATGTATAGAAAAATTCGAAGAGAAAGTTTCCCCCAGTGAATATAATCCATTGAATTTTTTCCCGATTTGATAGTTATTCCGTGTTGAGTCCCCAAAAATATCAACAAACAAGGGATTTCTGGAATTTATGAACCGCGTAACTCGCCAGAAGGTGCCCCTCCCCGGGAAAAGACTCTCTCCGAACGAAAATAAATCTCGTCCCCAGTCATCTCCATTGGACAATTGAAAGAAATTCCCCGGATCACTTTAAAACGATTTACGAGCGTTTTTACCTTCATATAAGATCCAATTAGGGTTGTCAGACACCACAGGAATACACCAGCACTCATGATGATTTTTCTATTGTATCTGTCCCCCAAGTATCCGAACAAGGGAGCGAATATCATATAACTGACGATAAAAGCCGTCTGCAGGAGACCAGATTGATCGTTACCTAATTCAAACTCTTTTTGTATCTCCGATAAAATTCCTGAAATAACAATAAATAGTCAATAAATATTGCGAGCGATGAATAAACAAAAAGATTTTCAATAGCAATTATTTCCACATCCCATCGGCTGTCGCGGAAAAAAATTATCGAGGGCATTCGATGATTCAATGAAAGACAATCAATGAATCAATTTATTATTGAATTAAAGAACAGAAAGGATGGACTAGGAATCAGCGACTCGCAAGCATTATTTATTGAAAAATTGTTAGGTGTCATTTGAGAAATTATTCATTATTAATTGTAAATAAAATTTGTCATTGTTTCAAAAAATGATGAATTGTCGGCTCAATCGAGAATTTTTTGTCGTTTACTTTTGGTTTATTGAGGAGTTGAGAAAGGGAGGGAGTACTGTCTAAAAATAATCTCATTAGAAAGCCGACGATATGGCGAGTAAAAAACATTGAAGATTGGCTGATTTAACAGCGAGACCTCGCACTCGCTAAAAATGCTGTCAAGGACGGTTTTTTGTTTGATATCATTTTTCAATTCTCCATCGATTTTCGAGTATAAACTCGTGGAGAATTACTCGGCGTTTGCAATTATCTTGATATTTTGATGAAATCTTTTTGAAAAAATATTTTATACTTTCGAATCAACTCGGGATTTCAACATTTTGATGCAAAAAATACCAAACACTCAAGGGGAATAGTGCATTCGATTTATGGGGCACATTGTGGAGTACTTTGTGGTACCCACAGATGTTTCCACTTTTATGGGTTTATTTTAAACGTTTGTTTTTCGATAAACCGTCGTTCTGCTCACTGGGGAATTTTTTTCTCTGAAAAATGGGACACGTTTTTGGTTTTCATGAGATAAAAAAATTGTTATCAGGGGGAGAGGTATTGACAAGACGGGGGATTTCGGGGGAGGTCCTCGGGTTTATGTAAATATTGATTTCAGCCGGAAGTGCAGACTTTTCGTTGCACCTCGGAGGCATCAACTGCAACCCGAACCGTAAATTTTTTTTCGCTGCTGAACATCGGAGTTAAAATTATGAAAACATCATTCGAATTTAAAAAATTATTCCCAAAATAGAAATAGGACGTTTTATAATTTTCCCACCGCAATTCCCCTGATGAATTGCATCATTAACAAGTGGATAATTTCATTTTTTTATTTTGTCCACAATTTGTTCATTAATCGTTGTACAATTGCGCTTCACAGAAATAACATTTTCAGAGCTAATTAAAAGCTACAATAAAATTTGCTAAAAAAAATCGTTATCTCTCTAAATCTCAAAGATATCCCCGACCAACTTATTGGAGAAATAATTCGCCGGATTTCGCTTCTCCTTATTTCATCTGCAAAATTTTTAAACTATATCTAATTAACATTTCTTTTCTTTCATTCAATTCGGCAGTAATAAAACTTAAATGAAAACCACGAGTAATTCTCTAAAGTTGAATTAAAAAATATGAAACTATTGCACCCTCATATTAAATAAAGATGGAATAAAAAAAAAATTAAACATCCAATACTGGTGGGCGGAAAAGCTCTGAAAAACTATGACAACTGAATATATAAATGAATGAATGAATGAATGAATGAATGAACGAATGGATGAAAGAATGGATGAATGAACTCACCAGCAATAGTAGTCCTGTCCATGTAATTAATCAAATTGACGAAGCAGAGGACGATAACAGTGATCCACTCCTTCCTGGATATTCTCCTGTCGCGGATGGTATCGAGCCCCTTATCATCATTACTGCCATTGGCCACCGGTTCTTCATTAACAACAAGATGTTGTCGAGAGACATTAGATGGAATTCCGTTGTCCTCCATCCTTTCACCGTTATTTAATCCCCCAGGAAGCTATCAAATTGTCACCAATAAACCCCCGAGGAATTGAATAAGAGCAGGAAATTAAATAGTCGACAGTGTTCTTGAGGTGTTTAGCACACCAAGGGGTGACATAACTGAGTGGTGAGCACTATTTTATGACACCTCAGCAACAGCGGTACCAGGAGTCACACCACCCAACAACTGACGAACCAGAAGCCCCCAATGTAAAGATCACCCAGACACCAATCCCCACTCTTGTTTTACTCAAGATTATTTACAAACACCAGCTCAACACTCAAGTCTTCAGGTATTTGGCACCATTTTGGTCTCGGTTGGTCATCAAAGAAAACCGTAATCCAGGCTAATCAACTGGAGAATTACCGACTGGGGATATCCCGGGGTAAATTCACTGATGGTAACTTCTTCTTCTTCTTGTCTTTCAAAAATTTATGCTCAGCCCCCTCCCCCTCTTTCTGCAGCTAAAATAACCGATTCTTCGAGTTTCTTGGATTTTGTCATTATTTCGTGAGTCATGGAGTTTTCAGTTTCAAAAAACGCAAGGCAATTATCCCACCGTTCGATATTAGGGTAAAAAGTAAAAAATTGTAAACATGCGGAGGAATTCTAACCTGAAAAAAATATTTCAATTTTGATTGCTCTTAATCTGAAGATAAATGAGAATTCAGTGAAGAATTTTTGGTTGGAGATTCGTGGAGAGAAATGGAGGTGTAAGTTTTTTTTTATCGTATGGAAATTTAATTTTTCACGCAATTAAATGTATATATAAATAATAATTAAATTAATTTCAGGTTGAAGGAGAATTCTGCTTACTTGAGTAATTTTGAAGTTCTCGAGATTCTGAAACAGGTGAGAGGAAATAAAACGCAGAAATCGCGAAATCAACTCGCGACAATAACGTATCAAACTGTGAGGTATCTGGAGGATACCCCATGCAAAATCCAAAATTCAGAGAAGATCAGGGGTTTTTTGAAAGCTGTCGAGAGCTTTAATTTGACGAAATGTGAAAAATTGACGCTCATTAATCTGTGCCCCAAGACTGCCATAGAAATTCAATTGGTGAGACCCCAAAATTCATTGAATTCAATTTTTTTATTCAACTCTCATTTTTTTTAATTATGAAAATTTATCAGATTATAGAAGAGAGTGAAGATCGTCTGTCAGAGGAACAGGTTGAATCTCTCCTCCAGGTGATTTCAACTCATCTGGGGGAACCTGAGGAACCGGAGGAAGAGCCAGGAGAGGCGGAGTAGATAATTCAATGTATTTACATCTCATTACGAGAAAGAAAAACTTATATTTCATTACATCGAGGGAGTTTCATCATAAATATTGTGCGAGCTTTTGAGCTGATCGATTAATTATCTCTTCTGATCGCCGAGATCATCTATCGAGTCCTCGTCAATCTGAAAATATTCACAAAACAAACAATTCGTCAATCATGATGAATTCACGAGTAAACGTTCAATTTTTATCACCTGAGGCCATTTCTCTGGAATCACATCGAACAAGTCGTCCTTGACGTCTCCCTGGATCACAATTTCATCATCTCCTGTTACACTAGACCCACAGGCGAATTTACTACCGAAAAATTTTGCTGCCACTTTCAAATCAATATCTGAAAAGAAAAAACAACCGTGAGTTTTTCGATGGAAACGAATAAATCATATGTGCTTATCGAAACAAAATGGAGATTTACCAAAGGTACTGAGTCCTGTAACTACAGTCACTGATTTTTTCTTTCCTCGAGGGGCTCTGGAGACTGTCACCAGTTTAGGCACGTCCTCCTTTTTCTTGGTTTTCAACATACCCTTGCCACCTCTTTTTTGACGCTTCTTTTCATCCTCACCACCTCCAGACTCTGTGCTTCCGTCCTCCACTAATTTTACTTTTTCAAATTCGTTTGGGAGATTTCGCTCCAGCCATTGCTTGCATTTCTCGTACTCCGGGTAGTACTCGCAGTACTAGAAAAAAAATAATCATGAATTGAGAACATTTTTATCGCTCAATTCCGTCACAGTACGTCAATCAATTGCATTTGACATTTGTTTATTCTTAATTGATCATTTACCTCGATGGGAAGTGAACAATTTCCACAATATTGTACTCGAATTGGATAAGTAACATTCGGATCAGGTCCCAGACGAAACTCAACCTGAGGTTTATCACTTCCTTCTGACATTTTCACCTATAACCTCTCGAATTCTGGAACGAAATCGAATTATTGGATTTTTAATTCACTCTCCGACCCCTAAAGCCTTTAAAAACCACAACAATTTTTTTTATTTTCATTCTGAAAATAGAAATAGAGGAAAAGTAATTTTCCTTTTTACTCACTTTTCTCTCGAACAATTCTAGGAAGTGAATTTGGGGTTAAGAAACGGGTGGTGTCGTTGGTACTATAACAGCTGTACAATCGGATACTAAAGTTTATAAATTTATCTTTAAACGAACTTTAGTACCTGACTGTACATCGCACGAGGAAAAAAATTGCGGCAATTGCGAAGGAAAATGTTTAATAAAAAATTCATTGAATTAGATTTATTAATTTATTATTTATTTATCCATTTAATACATAATTCAAATAATTAGAAGTTGGGGGAGTGGGGAGACTAAGCCTCGCGCGGGCAATTGGACTGCAATACGAAAATCATTTAGATTAGTCAAAATGAATGGTTGAGTTCTTCTAATTTTATTATAAATATTTACCGCCAGCCATTCATCTATTCTTGCTTCGTCGTAAAACGATGGAATCATTGTATCATTGAGACTATTTAATACAGTGATCACGCCGGAATTCCGGTTGTCATCTAGCTTTATCATTTCGTGATAATAATCATCAATGATTTTTTTTTCAAATGCTTGAGCTTTTTCTACAACCTAAAAAGTAGGGAAAATTTCATGAAAAAATCACAATCAAGATACGAGACGCGGCCCTCGAGGGCCCGACAAGATGGCCGTGTGTCCACCTCGTGATTTAATTAATTTATTAGAATTATTCATCCACATCGAATTCGTCTCACATGATTGCATCCTGTTCCCACGGGGTGAACAATTTTTTAAGCCATCCCGCAAAATTTTTTTTTTTTTCGTATGGCTGAGAATTACGCCAGCAAAAATTCTCTCGCGCTTCAGGTATTTATTCTACTTTTGAGACGTCAATAAATTTCATCATTGAAAAATACTTACGCCATTCACACACTGAACGGAAGTCGCATTATATTTTTGGAGAATTCCACATTGCACAGTTTTGAATTCCAGCTCCACTAGCGTTTCTCTAGCCTCAATGGACTTGCGATAAAAATTTTTCAAGTCTTCTATCCAAAAGCGCACAGCATCCGCAATATATTTTTTCAGTTGATCCTGTAATCTCGTGTCATTCGCGTAGAGATCCCTGACGAATTCCAAACATTTCCGGTCATATTTCGGATCTGCGAACGTCTCCCTTTCGTACTTGTACTAAAAAAATCATCCAGGAAGACATAATCACAAGAAACAAAATAAAAGATAAAAAAAATGCAATACGTTGAGTGAACACTTGCAAATTTTTTGCAATGGGAAAAAGCTATTTCACTCCAGCCGCAATTGATAATTTCGCTCTTTCTTTCGGTCTTTCTTCTTTTTAATTAATTACCCGGAAACGTTTCCACTACCTTTAACCGGAATAGACGAGACGTTTCGCCTCCGTATTGCCTAGCAATGGCGGAGATATTTCCCCAATAATCTATGGAATATTCTTCAGTTTCGTTCTGCAGGTCGAATATAATTTTCGACACATTGTGGACGACAGTGCGGATTTCAGAGCTCTGGGTTAAATACTTATGAAGGTCTTCCAGTTCGAGGGGAGCAGCTTCCTGAAACTGACGATTAAATTCCCCAAAAATGAAATTCCTGGAAAATTCCAATTATCCGCTGAAAATTCTTCAAGAAATTTCCTCGGAAGTTGCGTAAAAAAAAATATTTCACAAAAATAAGAATTTTTTTATAATTTATGGGATCAATGATTGAATGGAAACAAATATTTGTGGTGTACCTACCAGCGGCAAAATGGCGCAAAGAACAACAAATATCTTCATTTGAATAAATTGTTTTTCCCGGTGTACAAAGCACAGTCGACACATCAATGGCACATGCGGTCTCTATACCCCTGAATTTATATGAGCTGACGAGAACTATTTCTTAGACGTGTAAATATCATGAATGCTACGGTATATTTTATCATTAGACAATCTAGACGATCCACAAATATCGGAAAATTATTTCCGGCTGTTTTCAAAACTGCCGCCTTGGGAATTAATTCGAACATTGTCGATTCGTCTTCGGAATATTAACTTTACATTCATTTTTTATTTCATTGGAATGTTTAAATAGAAGAACCATTTTTCAATTTGGATTATCGTTTCAGGGAGCAAAGAACTTTTGAGATTTCACTCTGAAAAATATCTAATGTTTGATCATCGCGTGGGTGAATATAATTTACAAGCTGATAAAAATGATAACAATTGGATTGATACAATTGCGTAAAATCGAACGTATCACCAAAAATACAATGAACTTGAAAGCAAATATTTGGAAGCTATTGGAAATTTATGCCTGATTGCACAGGAGATACGAACGAACGAAAATACGATACAGCTGTCGAAAAAAATAACGAATAATAATAATAATAATAATATGAGAATAAAAGATTCGTCTTTCCGATTTATGAGATTTCACGATTTTTTCAATCATCGAGGAATAATTTTTTATTTCATGTAAATTAATTTCCTCAACAATATATTTTTTTTTCGGTCATCAACTTCAAAAATTATAAATAAATACTTCAAAAAATTATAAATAATGAATCAGACATAAGTTTAATGTTCCATAAATTAATTAGGTTTTTTACAGTATATTTTTGTAATTATTATAATAATTGGATAATATTGATTTTGGATGAGAGATGAATTCTAGTCGTTGGGGCAGAATATCTGAAACAAATTTTTCAATCGCGTGATTATTGAATTTGTGACTTTTTATATGAGGCGTACCTTGAGCCAACGGTCTCTTCCTTTTTCGTTGTAGAATTCGGGAATAAATCGATCTGAGAGCGATTGGTGAAGATTATCTAGGATTTTTCGTTTCGCTGATAACAGACTCAGTGCGTCCGTCACCACTACATTCGTAATGTCAATTTTCAAAATTTCCATTGTCTTCAAAGTCTGAAAACGAATTTTCTAATTGAAACAGTACACGGAAAAAAATATTCAGATGAAAATGATGGAACGCCGTAGGAAAATTCTGTGACTGTCGATGAAAATTCCGCGTAATTTTTGAAATTGAAAAATCAAAAACGGAAAAATTAATTTCAAAGAATTTAATTTTTTATTTCAACCGCGAAAAAATAATGGAAGAAAAATTTTGAATCTGCGAATTTGTGATTTATAATCGAATTTAAAAAATTGATATCAAAATTTAATGGATTGAAGTGCAATTACGTACGTCTAAAGCGCAATTGTAACTATCGATTGCGTCAGCGGTTTCCGAAAAAAAACCACAATTGAAAACTTTTTTTTCTATATCAGTCAGGATCGATTCGGCCCAATGAAATTTTTTATGAATCCGCTCAAGTTCCTCGATGAAAGATCCCAGAGCCTTCTCTACATACTCTGACAGCTCATGCTGATGCTGTTTACTTTCTTCGATGAGATCAATTATATATTGCCGACAATCCGCGCTCAAGTTTTGATTTCCGGCGAAATCCACCGCTTGGGGCTCATACTAAAATCATAAATTCCGGATTAATCACCTGAAATAATTCCAAGGAAAATATTGCGCATTCTTTTCTCATTTTTCCGTCATTTTTATTATCCGACGAGAAAATTATTCTGGTAATACCTTAGATATAAAATGCAGATGCTTTTTGGGCCCATAATGCGCGAGGACTTGACTGATGTTTTTATAGATGATGTCGGTGACATCTCGAGATCCAGAATCAATAATATGTAAGTACTGGGAGACACTTTGCATGTGTTGTCTGATGCCTGAACTGATGGTCACATACTCGTAGAGATTTTTAGCGGATATACCATCAGCCGCGACCTGAAATATATCTCGTAGAACAATTAATTTTATTGAACTCACTCTCTCATTTATTAATTCTAAAAAAAAATAACCAGATTTTTTTTTCGAAATCCGTAAATACGTGGACAAACTTACGAAAGGCAAAAAGCAAAAAAAGACTATCTTCATGTTGCTGATCAGTTTTAATCTATTTTCACCCATGGGCACGTCGATAATGCCATGTGTGGATCTTACAATTGAATTTAAACGGTAGTCTTTCTTGACACATGCGATATCATCGTGCGTTGACTCCACGGTTCCATTGATATCAATTAATAATTCCACCGTTTCTGTTTGCTGTGTGGAATACAATAAAAATTCATGCTAAGGCAAAATGTATTCATGTGTAAAATTGAGTTTCCGCAACGAGATAGTATTACTGTACCCACTCCGTCCTCCAATGAGAAATCAACAGAAAATAAATGTCAATACATTTGACACCCGATAAATTATCATCGGTATTTTACGTCAACTGAGTCAAGTCTTTCCACGAATTTTCTCAATAACTAAAAAAATATGACAATAGCAAATAATTCACTGCAGGTTAATCCATTGATAAAAAATTTAATTCAATATTAATATTAATCAACTGCATTGTATTTAAAATTCCATAATATCCTTGATTAATTATTTTTCTCCTTCGAAATTTCTGGAGAGGTATAATGTACCCTAGAAATTAATTATGTCTTCACAATTTCTTAATCAGTATTTACATGGACGTATCATTTTTTTGTTTTGAAATTAATAGCAATTTTAAGTCTGACAGTCGTTCTGAAGGCATTGCTGAGGTCTTGCTCAGCAGCGAGAGCGACTTGTTTCACTCTGGAGCCTTTGGGCCCCATCACGAGTTTTCCAATTCTGTCCGTGGGGCAGTCGACGTTGACAACAGCTGACATACTGTCATCGGGGAGAACCCCGAGGTGTTCTGTCTGAATATCGAGGACGTAGGGAAGCTCATCGGGTAGAGCATCCATGAATTTGGCTTTTACAGTTCTCTCGACTATTTTCTCAGTGGATTCATCAGTTATCTGATTGCTACGGTAGTCCCAGTCTCTGTTCGTCGCCGAATCCATTAGATACGCCTGAAAAATTAATCGAATTCCACAAAAAAATTCTATTTCTTCAAAATCATCGATAAATTATTCATGACTCATTGTTTTACATTTTATTTATCTATTCATTACCGATTTAGATAGAAAATCGAATTAAAAACGAATATTCACCCTCAAATCATCAACCCCATCGTTTTTGAGTGCGGAAATCATGAAGATGTCAGAAAAATTGGGCCAGTTGTTTTCCCCCGTGAGGATATCGACGAGCTTGAGGAGCTCCTTCTTCCGCCTCATCCTATCGATTTTATTCAGTATGAGAATCGAGAAAACCCCAGGTCTCGTGCACTTCAGGGCCTCGATCACTCTCTCATCGATCTTATGCCTCTTGAACGGATTTGACACGTCCTGCACCACTCCCACGACATCCGCAAGCTCCAGGGATTGTGTAATATCCGATTTGAATGTTGGCTCGAGCTTGAACTTCTTGAAGTCACGATTCGTTACTAGTCCTGGTGTATCCATGAAAATCAGCTGGGTGTTGCTCTCCGAGTAGATGACGTTCGTCTTCGATCTGGTTGTGTGCGCTTTTCCGGACATTGCGCAAATCTTGAAATCATGAGACATTTTTAAAATTTTATGAACAGTAAAAGCCCTTCGGCCATTTCGAAGGAATTGCAATTGAAAATTAATACAAGGAATTCAATGGATTATTCTACCTGTCTTCCAGCTAGTTGATTGACGAGCGTGCTTTTTCCAGCATTTGGCAGTCCTAAAATAGCGATCCTCAAGGATTTATCCTCATCCCTTCGAATCCTCTGAACGTCGAAGGACTGGTCCACAACGTAATCGTCATCCTGCATTCCATCAATCTTGTCATTCGGCACTTGTTCTAAATTAACAGAGAAAAACCTCAAGCTCCTCTCCACCCTGAGGACTCTTCTGCACGTCACCAGCATCTTCTGGTTGTCAAAAATCCTCTCCCGATATTTCAGAATAAATTCGACATCGAAATACAATTTTTTTCTTTGACATCAAGGTTATGACTGCACCTTCAGCTTCTCTGGAATTATTTCAGAAGACTGTCACGTCTGAATTAACAATTACCAATTGTTATGAATAATTGAATAATTTTTATACTGATGATCCACTGTCTCACGTGTTTTCAATGTTTTTTATCGATTTTTGGGGCACGAGATTCTGAACCTAGTGTTTTCTCGAGATTTTAAAGAGCAAAATGGCGGCGCCGGAAATCCCGCCAGTTTTTCAAATTCGAAATTATGACGATTATCCAGAGTGATTATTAATTATTATTTAATACAGGGAAAAACGACGAAGAGATGAATAATTAAAAATAATTGATGATTATTTTTTTTATTTCTCCCATACGACATAAACAAACATAAAAAAATATAAATAATAATGACTCCCCAGGATTAGTTTTATTATTGACCTATTGAGCATCTGTTCGTTCATTAATAATTATTGTTGAAGGTCGGGAAGACGAAATCGGAGCCCTTGAGATTTTGGAGAATCCAGTCGTCAGCTCTTGCTTCCAATTTCTCAGTGAATGTCTCGGTCCAGGTTCCACTCTTTCCATTCCTGACGAAACTCCCAGCAGAAATGATCTTGCAGTCCCTCAACTCCGAGGAATTGACCATCAGATTGTTTTTGAAATTCCGGATGTCCAGGTAGTCAGATAATTCTGAGATCTGATCATCGGTGTACGTTTTACCCAGGAACTTGGAGACCTTTTGAATGCACTCCGTCAGGTCCTGGTGCATCTCCTCGTAGAACATGAAGAGAAGGTTCGGGTGGTGCCTCAGGGCCCAGGCCTCTTTCAGGTGCTCCCAGTAAGGGCTCCAGGGCGCTGAAATAGTATATTTCGTAACAAGTGCGGATTTAATTTTTTACGAGTTTTTCTGGTTTTTACTCAGATTGCTCTCGAAGTAGTCCCAAAATTCCTCGAAGGTCCCGGTGTATCCTTGAGTCTTTATGGCTCGGTTCAGGTGGTACCAGGAGACAGCCACGTCCTTGGGGTTTCTCGCCACGTAGATGATCTACATTTTTTTTCCAATTTTTTTTTGTCACAGGTGAAATTAATTCTGAATTTTTTCCCTGCACCGGGCGAAATAAAAAATGTTCGATCCCCTTTTCAGAAGTTAGGAAAAAATTTACCTTGCATCCAACGTCGAGTATTCCTGGGAGTAAACTAAACGGAAAATGTGATTTGATGAATCGAGGGGAGTCCATGGCCTGGAGCACGTCGTACCCGGGGACCCCCAGCTTCCGGCAAAAATCCATCTTCTCGGGATCGCCCTGATTCAATTCTACAAACTCCTCGGTAACTTCCGGATGATTAAACATACTGAACCTGTAATTACCCCGGGGATTAAACAAGAAATTCGTTAAAAAAATTTTAATCTCTCGATGACGTACTCTAAAAATGGAAATCTCTCCGCCAAATATTTTTTCGATGCCGTCTCGAAATCCAGATCATTCGAGAGAAGCCAGACCAGCTCCTGAGTCCAAGTCGTTCCTATAAAAATTATTTCACTGGTTTCAACTTTTCAGTTATTCAAATCGATTGAAAATTCTTTTAAAAAAATCGAATTATGTTCATTTTTTATTGAAACTCCAAAAGATTTCCTGAATCGATTCCTCTTTCTTCGAGTCCATCCTTCAATTACATAATCAATAATTAAAATAATATTATTGATAATAAAAAATTATATAATATTATTTTCCCGATTTGCAGTGGAATTTTTCAATTATTCCAGCGATTTCAAATAATTTTAATGAATGAATACCAATTAATGTACCTGATCTAGGGTAACTAACGACCCATGTGTCACTAGGTCTCGCCTTGAACTCGAAAAATCCGAGTCCTTGATCCACATATCTTCTCGGAAAAAACCACTGCCTATCACCGACGAGAACCCATCCAGTCCTTTCACCGGTGAATTTCTGTAGCATCTCCTTCGTCTTGCTTTCACCCAAAAATTGATACGCGGGTGCACTCATCCTCGATTAATATATCAATATATTTCAATATCAAATGATTTTTTCCTCGATGAGAACGGGTGACGACCGCACGTTCAAAGATCTGCATAGGGACTAACTGCAATTTTTATTTCATGTTCGACTCGTCGAGGAGAGAAAGTCCGTCCCACATTTGCTGGTTATTAACGCAATTATTATTATTATTTAATGTGTAAACTTTCCCTTTCTCCGGATCGATCCTAGCGATTCAGTGGATGGCATGGAATTTCATTTCTTTTTTTCATTTTGATTCGATCATTTCTGAATTTCTTTATTTATTATAATTTGATTATCTTTTTTAGAAGGACATGGGAAAGGAAAATAGATTGGAATTAAGAAATAAAAATTGTTTTATTCATCATACGAAGACAATAATTAATTAAATAGGAACTTGCGTCAATAATTAGGAATATGTGCGTTTCAGTCTTGAGGAGACCCTCAACTCCACAATATCATGGATTAATTAATAATTACCTATCGATTCTTAACTCTATAAAAAAATTACGATATTAAAATAATTCATTCGAATTAAGGCACTGCTGGAAGATGATCCCTTGGTTTCAATTTTATCTTATCAACTATTTTCAGATCAGAAATCCCCAATCACATCTCAATATTAAAAATATTCTAATATTATATTAAAAAATCTAGCGCTCATTAATAAATCAGACGAATGTTGCATTGATAATTCACGTTCTCATTAAAAATTTCTCCAAAAACCAATTCTGGCATTATCCAAAAATTCATAATCCTACAAAAATACTCCTACACTTCATCCTGGCCCTAACATAATCTTAAAAAAATATCAACCCTGAAAACAGGTTTTTCATCATTCCCTGAGTGTCACAAAAATCACTCCGATCAAAAGAATCGGAATCTGGATGAAAAAATTTTCTCTAAAAAAAAATACTGACCATGATTTTTTATCTCTCAAAACAGTAAAAAAAAAAATCATTCTTAACGTCAAAAATTCTCAAAACCTCAAAATTCCGTCGAAACTCAACCATTTTTGATTTTTTCCCTTTCAAAAGCATTCGAGACCAATGACATTCTCCGTAACAGCCACGGCCTCCTTAACCCTGCACTCCTCAACGGTTCCCCCGGTGAACGGAATGACGACAACCTGTCCGATGCTGAAGGTGCCCTTCCTGATGACCTGATCGACCTGATCGACTTCATGAACCTCCTCCCTCCCCTCGTCGCTGCCATTCGTCTGAATCATCCCCTCCCCATTGCCAATGGTATGAGTTATCTCCTCCCCCTTACCAATCACATGACTCATCCCCTCCGCCTCGTCGAGCCGAGCGACCTTGGGCCCTTTAACCCTCATATGCAGCATGTCCTGAAGCTGAGGATTGGCCTTGAACATGCTACACCGTTTTGTATGAATCTTCATGTTGTCATGTCTATTGAAGGCCCTCTGACACCCAGGACACTTGAATCTCTTCTCACTGTGAACAGCCATATGAGCGGCAAGATGGCTCTGCTGTGCAAAAGCCTTATCACACACCTCGCACTTGTACTTGCGTATGCCCTCGTGTTTGAGCAAATGCTCCTTGAGTATGTGACCACTCTTATAAACATTTGGGCACAAGTTGCACTTGAACTTCGCCTCGGAATGAACATTCTGATGATTATGAAGAGCTTTCCGACTCTTGGTGGACTTACCACATATATCGCACACGTAATCACTCGAGTGAAGATTATCTAGATGTTTCTGGAGTGCCTCAGCTGAGCTGAAGTGGTGGGAGCAGAACTTGCACATGAGCTCACGATTTTTGTTGTGAGTGATCATGTGTGCGCGCATACGACCTCTCGAAAAAAATTCTTTGCCGCATATGTCACAGGTGACGTCCTTGACTGGTTTGTGAGTGGTCATGTGATAGCTCAGAACTTGTCTCGAGGCACTCGAGAAGGGGCAGACGGTGCATTTGAAGGGCCTCAGTCCACTGTGAGTGTTCAGGTGCTCCTCGAGGAGAATTGCTGTAACATATCGTTTCTTGCAGAAGTTGCACTCGAAGGGCTTGATCTTCAGGTGACTCTTCCTTATGTGACACCTAATGTTGGTGACTGTGAGTGTCGAGAAATCGCATGCTGTGCACTTGTACGGCTTCATCTCAAGGTGACCCCAAATGTGCACTTTGCATTTATCAATTCTGGGGTAGAGCGCACTGCAGATGAGGCACATGGTTCGCTTCTTGTCGAGGTACGTCAAATTCTTTTCGACGACGGACTCGTCCACGACGGACATGTCAATGGTGTAGAATTTTTCGATCGTTTCCTTCTCCTCGGAGGAGATCAGTTGAGAAACGGTACCGTAAATGGCACCTGATTTACGGCGTTTCGAGGTGGAGGAGGTCGAGGTCGGCACTGACGAGCACGAGGATGACTCCGAGGATGACCTTCGACGACGCCGGGGTTTCAATGACTCTGAAGCATTCGAGGATTGTGAGTTACGAGTCTTTTGACCGGAAGACGGAGGTGGCGATGACAAGGAACGTGTGTTTTTCTTCAGGATATCTTCTGGGGGAGTCCGGGTGCGGGATGGAGGGTCGGATGCATCGCTCTGGAGATGAGGTTCAGACGGCGATCTGGACACCCTCGGTGATGCTGTCTTTGACTTTTTAGTCTTCGAGTCGTTAAATTGCGGAGATTTCTTGCTCAAACCCTCGTCTTCAGCGATTAATAATTCCGTAGATTTCTGCGACTTCCGTGTGCTCTCATGGAATTTTTGGTCTTCAGGGCCGACTTCTGAAAATTTTTCTTCAGCTCCCGGAGATGATTTCGAGATTTCTGATGGTCCATTTGATTCTTGAGCGGTGAGAGCTCCTAATGGCGGCGACATCGCACTTTCTTTGAGCGGTTGTTCGATCGGTTGTTCAGAAACTTCTTCGACAGCTTCCCGAGGAGATGGATCGGGTGGTGAATCCAGTTTAGTATCGCTTTTCTCGAGTTTCTTTGGAATTTTTATTGTCTCCGGAGGTTCAAGAACTGAAGATGATTCCTCAGGGTCATGGATAAATTTCTGAAGTGAAAAACGAATCTTCGGGGTCCTGGACCGAGGAGTCACACCAGAAATCGTCCTGTCAATCACACTTTCAATTTTTTTTATCTTCTCCTCAGGATTCGACACAGATTTGGCGGAGGGTCTCTTCAGGGACGTCGGACCGGTTGTCTTCAGAGCTTCCCTCAAGCTAGTGATATTCCGTATCTTTGGATATTGCTTCCGAGAATGAGCCCTTTTGTTTCTCGTATGTAGAATCTCCGAGAGAATATTCTCAGAAATGTCTGGAGATGCTCCGGATGATGGGGTAACATTCTCCAGATCTTGGGAAGGGAAATCCGCAGGTGCTCTAGGTCTCCGAGAGGATGGGGGCGAAAGGGACTTGTGTCTCGAAGACCTGATGTTTTCCTTGTTGAAGTCGTTGGTATCTGGGGGTGGGGCTGGGGTGTTGGCGTCATCCTGGAATCAGAACACGAAGGGCCCTTCATATTTTGTACCTAATCCTGCGAAAATCGGCCGTTCCAGGGGAAAATATTAAGACATCTGATTGATAATCAATTCTTTATACAATTTTTACCTTCTCTTTGAGTTTCTCCTGCGTCTCCTGGCACTGGTCTACGAAATCACAGAGGAACTCCAACGTTCCCACGCACCTGATGCAGACGATCTTCGGCAGCTGGTCATCCTCTTTAATCTACAACGCATCATCATAAAAAAAATACGAATCCCCATGGAACCCACATTAAAACCCTAGACTGCTGACGGAAAAATCATAGAATTTGAATAATTTTCCCAATAAAATAATAATAAATTATCACGTGAACATTCCCCTTAAATTCTCCCCTAATGTGCCGTTATATACATTTTCCACACTTGTTACGAAATATACTATTTATAGCGATAATTGATTTTGAGGAAAATAATCCCCGGGAATTTTCCTCGGGATAAATGAATCCCCAGGGAATTTCCTTGGACATTTATGGATGGATAAATTTTTACTGGGTAATATTTTTGGAAATGATAATAAAACGAGGAATGCATGATGTACTCGAAAAATATTAATTTTATTAACGTAAATAAATGGAATTGCTAGATGAGCATACGATAGAAAATCCTAGAACCTACCTCTTACTGATGAATCATACAGAATCTAATCTTATTGTACAATGGTACATAGTTATTGTATTACAATGAGTGTAAATAATCCTTACAGCATTCTTCGTCAGTCTCAGGATCCCCAAGGGATCGCGGAAAAGAACTTCATATTATATTCATCAATTGATTCTTCACATTGTGAAAGGCACTATTTATTCCTCTCATTATCACTGAAAATTTTACGAGTAAAAAATATCGATATATCGCCCAGAACCTCTCAACCCCTGATTTCCTCCTGATTATTATTCTATTTCAAAATACGTGTCTTATAATCAGAGCCCAATGAGAGGTTCTCCCCGTAAATGTAAATATAAACTCTTCATAATATCGTTACATCAATTACTCGAATGTAATCACTCAAGGCCGATGTGAATGCACTAGGTGCAATCACCCATTATTACCCTCCGAAAATATAAATTTCTCATCTCGTAACTCTCGTAAATTTTCACTCTCAAAAATCTTCCTCGTAACATCTCTCAAAATATCGTGGATATAAAAATTATGGAGCATAGTCTTTTTGGAAGCATTGAGTTTTTTTTTAAAGTACTTTTTTTTTTTCCAAAATATAACAATTATCTTCAGTTTCGATATCGATGAGTATCTCGTCAACTTGAAAAATCCAAGTTCGAGCCGACGATTCGTTAATGATTCATCAACTGAGAGTACTCTAAATTTTTCAAGAGATTATTTATCATTTCGCATAAAAAATGATCATATGGACGTCCTTGAATAAACTCCACTGATTATTCATTTTCTTCAGCGAATAAATTACCAGAATTCATCAATATCGATAATTACCAATCGAGTTCACTCAAGGTCATCCCGAACGTGATCGTCATAACCATCCTCTGGAGCAATACGATTATCACCAACCCTGAAGTAAACAAATCCTCGACAAGATCACCTGCCTCAAGGCCGAAGAATTTCCCACACCCCCAGGTGATTCCCCAGACCCTGAGAGGATGACCCAGAAATCCAACGAGATGAATAATAAATTCGGGTAACATATTCAATTCCCCCTGAAAACGTGCTCAGCACATCTCCACAAATTGCCCCACCTCTCCTACTTCTCATTGACATCCTTATCCCCCTCCTCGAGCCCCTCGTCGTCCTTACTCTTCTGTCCACTGACAATTCTCCCAGTCTCCGCGAAATGCCTCTTCCTATGCACCTTCATGTTATCCCTCCTATTGAATTTTCTCCCACACTCCGGACACGCATGAGTCTTCTCCCCATGAACATGCCTATGAGCAGCAAGATGACTCGCCTGAGCAAAACTAGCTCCACATTTTTGGCACACGTGTTTTCGCAGTCCCTCGTGCTTCAACAGGTGTTCATTCAAAAATGCCTTAGACGCGTACTTATTATTACAAATATTACATACAAAGGGCTTTGGATTGGAGTGCTGAAGAACATGCGCTTTGTACTTGCTGGCAACTTTGAATGTCTTCCCACAGATATCGCAGGTGTACGTGGTAGAGTGACGTGTCTTGATGTGCTCATTGAGAACAGCAAGACTCGAGTAAAGATTGTAACAGAATCTGCATCGAAAGTTGCGTCGATTTTTAAGATGAACACTGCCAATGTGACTGAGCAATCTAGTCCTAAAAGGAAAAACCTTTCCGCAGTATTCACACGCTAGATTTTGAGGCGGTAGGTGCGACTTGATGTGCATCTGCAGTGACACTTTATGATGATAGCTCTGTCCGCAGTCATTGCATTTGTACGGTCTGATGCCCTTGTGGACGTTATCGTGCTCCGTCAGGTCGAACTTGGAGCGAAACCTTTTTGGACACTTCGGGCACTGCATCGGTCTTGGATTGGTGTGCGAGCAGCGGATGTGCTTCATCACATCGCTCTTGCAGACAAATTTTGCGGTGCACAAGGTGCACGCGTATTGCTTGATACCTAGATGTGTTTTTACGTGTACCATGCACTTGTCTCGTCGCTCGTAGAATTTCTTGCATAATTTGCAGGTGTAGCCGTGCTGTCCGTCCAATGTACCACTGACGACGTTATCGTCGACCCGAATCTCCTCGCCATCCATTCGGAATAGATCCTCTGGATTGCGGGACTCACTGCCACCACCGTCCGCACCATCCGACATCGAGGAGAGCCTCTTCTCGAGCTCCTGGAGCTTTAGCCTGCCGTCCTTATCCTTGTCTCTCGATGTTTTTGATTTGGATACCGATGTCATGATCTTGTTGATCTCGGCATTGCCGTTATCACCGAGGAGATCAACGATCTCCGAGTCCACCAGGCATGAGCCCTGATCTGGAAATACTTTAGCGAGAACTGTCACGACGTTCTCCGTCTCCTCGAGTTTCTTTCGCATCTCGAGGGTAAAGCTGATGTCCTCGATATCACCGTTTCGACCTTTTGACTCCTTCACGCACACTTCGACGTCCGACGAGCCTGAGACTGCGGTGAGGACCTTGTTCAGGGCTGAAGTCGGAATTTGAATCGTCTGCTTTTGCTCGGAGGATGACTCGACCGGTGGTGATTTACCCGGGGTCGGGCTCACGCTCGATCGCGTCTTCTGGGAATTTTGGGATCGTAATCGCGTGACTCGGGAGACTGACGTCCGCGGAACCCGCGGTTTTGTCGACGAGCGCTTCGGCTTTGATTTTTCATTTTTTGATGTTTCCGTTGTGTTTCGGCTCCGCAGCCATCGGCGGGTGGAGGCGGGCGCGATTGTCGAGTCATTTGGTGACTTCTCCGGGGATTTTGACCGGTTCTGAGGTGGACGGAGGTTCCGTTTTGGACGCGGCTCCTCGACTGGAGCTGTTGTGTTACTATCCGGTGAGGGATCGACATTCTCGATGTCCGCTGTCGCGTTGAGATTTTTTTCAGTGCTGTTGTTGTTCGTGGAGGTGGACGGGGAGTCCGGCGTCGGTGGCGGATCCTCCGGTTTTATTTCCACGGGAAAGAGAGTGGAGTCCTGAGGCACAGGAATCATAGATGTACCTGGGGCTTGTTTGAAGTCTCTGTGGGAGGTCTTCGGGATGGATTTTCTCTTTTTGGTGGGAAGATTTTTGAATTTTACGCGGGAAATTTGAAAATGGATTGTTTTTGGGGAGTGTTTCGGTGGCTATTTACGATTTCTTTTTTTTTTCGTGGAGATATTGATTGGTCATTGATTGGTCATTGATTGGCGGTTGTATGGATCAGAGACTACGAGCGGTTGTGGATAAATTCATGATTTATTATTAAATAATTGAGACTTACGAGGTCTGGCAAAGGTGGTAGATGATAACGATCGCGCAACAGTCGTTGAGTACGTAGACACTCCTCTTGAAAGTCACACACAAATTCGAGTTTTCCCAGACATTGAACGCAGATCGTCTTTGGAAGAGGATCCGTCTCATCTATCTGTGATATCAAAGAACAAACTAATTTAACCACAACCCCAGATTCATTTATTTATTTACCCTGAGTGAAATATCGATGATCTTTTAAAATGAAAAATAATTTATTACCAAATTCCACGAAATTTTTTCATTATCGATGATTATAAAAAAAAATAGATCGATATTCTCCTCGAGGAAGATAAATATCCAATTAATAAATTGTTTAACAATATTTTATTTAACCCTACCGCTCCACCAAATGTTATTTGCCAAATAGTTAATTTGGATTTTGTTAAATTTTTTGGGTCCATCCGTGATTCATGTACCTCAAGGCATGTCTCTCTCACTCTCATTCTCACCAGCACTTTTTTATTATTAATTATTGTTAAAGGACAGAAAGCCAAGCGTTTGCCACAAGTTAAGCGCATGAACATCCTCCATTATATCGCTCTCCACACATTAAATTTATATTATTTATGTAAAGCGCAGAAAAACAAATGCGGAACAGAAAGTTATTGTTTTTTAGTGGAAGGAGATGAGGGAATTTTATGAAGCCATAATTTCAATATTTCAAGATCTAGAAGTTTTATTTATTCAATGAAATAATAACGGCAATTCATTTATTATTAATTATCAATTGATTGAAAATTATTACTCGAGAATTCATTGAAAGGTTTAATGAAAATATTTTTAAGGACTTGTTCTTCAAGTTGAATTCCATTTTCGAAAAATGGTGTTTCCGTGAATTCTTGATGTTATAAACATTTTATCAATAAATAAATTATGATTTCATTTGAAAAACTGGGAGTTCAGGGGAAAGGCCAGAGCTACGCGAACAGTCAGGATAATTGAGTAGTAGGTTTAAACAATTCCATCGAAAAACCCAAATAAATAATTCATATAAATTATCCACTGATTAACATTAAACAAATATCTCGCAGAGAATCTCAACATTTTCATTACATTACGACAAATAATTACAACAATTACAAAAAATTGATTGATTACCGAATGACCCAATGAAAATCACTCGATAAATTTTCCAAAATAATTTCCAAGACGTCAAAAAAAATTCACCAATTTCAAAAAAAAAAAAAACAACTCGCATCCCCGATGGAGCGTCTCACCGTCGTCACCTAACCCCTCGTTCCTCCGTCAGCAGTTGAAAAAAAAACCCCAAAAATCTAATGATTGATAAATAAAAAAACTCACCAAAATGTTGATCCTCGAATGTATTTTGAGGCCGAGGAGTCGCCTCGTTCCCTCATCACCAAAAACATCGATGTAAATACTCTCAAATTGGCCACACAAACGGCAAACCTGAGCTTCACCACCAACATTCTCGTCCATTTTGCCTGGAGTTTTGTGTTATAAATGTGTTATAACTACTCCCCGCCCCCTCCTGTTGATACCAGCCCGTTCCAACCTCAAAGACAAGTTTTAACCCCGAGATCGATCATTTTTTCCACTTCATAATATCGCGGGGTTCACCGCTCCCCGAACACCTGTTCACTGATTATTTTATTCTACTGGAGCAACGCCTGGAGTTCCACTGGTGATTTTCCACGATAAAATGAGGAAAATAGTTGATATTTTCAGGGTAGAGGGAACGCTTGGGGAATGGCCGACGCTTTGTTCTGATTTCAGAATTTCCTCGGGTTTTTTCACTCGTTCTGATGTTTTTTATCGTTTCGGGGGGTTGTACTTGGTGATGGGGATGCTGAGGGGTGGCTCCGGGATTTTGGGGGTGGATTGGGGTGTTTGTCACTCGATTTTTTTGAGGGGAGACACTTGTGGATAAACGTGCGGTGGTGATTGTGTACGGGCGTTTGGAGCAACCGGGGAATTGCGGGGAATTTAGGGAAATTGTGGCGACATCTGGGCGCGGGGTGGGGGGAGGCGGTCAGCTGATGGCGCGGCGGGAAGGAGAATTGTTTTCAAATTGGGGGTGGGAGTCGTCGTGACTTATTTTGCATTTTTTTATTGGTTGATTGATGGTGCAGCCAATTTTTATTGTATGAAGAATTTTCAATTAATTAATAATTAATATATTAGAGGGAAAGGGTGGAATTTTGAAAATTATTAATCCCCCGGAGGTGATTCGGGGTACGGATTGAGGGACTGGGGGAAAATACGTACCTCCGGGTGAATAGAAGACGTACCTGGGCCCTTTCTCTTCGTCAAATTAAACTCAACCCCGAAGGAGCAGAACAAATAAATGACAAGGGACTCCTATTCTATCTCGGTGACCCGAGGGTAACGGTTCCGGGTATTATTTTTTTTTTTACCTGAAGAAGGGCCCATTGGGGGCCTGAATGAGCACAAAGGTCGATCAGAGAATATTATTAACGACTAAATTATGCATTCCGGAGAACGATTCCTCAATACATCTGCGGAAATAAAAAGATGGGGTGTTTAGATCTCAAAAACTCCCGTGGAGATTGGAGCAACGGTTTGCGTGAATTTTTATTTATTTATTAAATGTAAAATAGCCGTTATTAAAATTTATAATCTTATGCAAATTATAATCGAGATTGCACACACGCAATGCTAGGGTGTTTTTTTTTAACCATGTTTTTATTGCAATGCTGGGGTGTCCATCGAGTCGACGGGGTGAATTTTATTGTCTGCGGTATAAATGCTTTTTGTTTTTTAATTATTTAACTGAAATTTAGCCGACTAGAACGAGCGGAAGGGAGAAGCCACATCTTGTGGAATTTTTAATGAAAAAAAATTATTCAATATGTTGAAGATATACTACTAATGAAATTATTTTAATTTAATAACTGCGTTGGCCTATCGGTAACGTGCTTGGTTATCACGCCAATGGCTGGGGTTCGATCCCGCCACCATTAATTTTTTTTTTTTCAACATAATTCCTATTTTTTTTTTTGTACATGGCTAATCAATGGAAATATTGTTTAAAAAGTGAATAATTGAAAATCGAAAAGATATCCAGTGAAATTGAAAAATTATAAATTTTTTAAAACGATGCTTTTGCAAAATATATACTCCTAATGAAATTTTTTTATTGTAATAATCCGTTATCCTAGCGGTAACGTGCTCGGCTAGCACGCCGACGGCCCGGGTTCGATCCCGCGTCATTCATTTTTTTTTTTTAAATAATTCCAATTTTTTCTTTTGTCAATGGCTAATCAATCGAAATATTGGTTAAAAAACGAATAGCTCTTCGATTGTCATGTTCCCCTGATACTTTTTCAAAAATTTCGAATTTTTCAGTTTCCGTGAAAATTTCAGTGAATAACTCCTCGATTGTCATGTTCTCCTGATACTTTTACAAAAATTTCGAATTTTTCACTTTCAGTGAAAATTTCAGTGAAGAGCTCCTCGA